GGCCATATTCACAGAAACTGCCCAGAAGCTGGGCATTTGTCTGGAATACTCTGTATCTTTCTTCAGGACAGATCCACCAGAAAAAGTACAACACATAATTAACATTATCAAAACTTCCACTTCTAAGGTTATTGTCGCTTTCCTCTCCCACAGGGATTTGGATGTGCTCATACATGAATTGTCTCAACACAACCTGACTGGGTATCAGTGGGTAGGCGTTGAGGGCTGGATCTTTGATTTCCAAACTGCAGCCATGGATAGGCATCACATTCTGGATGGTGCCATAGGTCTGTCCATTCCAAAAGCACATGTCAGTGGCATGAAAGAGTTCATGTTGAATGTGAAGCCGCTCAATTCATCTAGTAATGAATTGTTTACAGAGTTTTGGGAGACATTATTTAGCTGTAAGTTCAAGCAGTCAAAGTCATCAGCAGAAAATCAAAGAGAATGTACTGGAGATGAAGATCTGAGTGGAGTGCAAAACATCTTCACTGATATGTCGCTCATGCCTCTCTTTAACAATGTCTATAAAGGTGTGTATGCTGTGGCCTACGCACTTCATAGTATGCTCAGCTGTAATAAAACATGTAACAACAAGGTGCAGCTAGATCCATTCATGGTGAGTTGCACACCAAAGACTTCAATTATATTTTTTATATCAAATCATTTAACAATAAAAATTGTTTAAATTTTGAAAAACAAATTGTTACAGTCTGTATATCATAGTTATAAGACAGCAGACCAACAAACTGTTGGACAAAATGCCAGATAATGATCCACATTGATGTTCTCCTTAGATTTTACAGCACATAAGAAAGATTCATTTCAAAACAAAGGAAGGAGATGAGGTTTACTTTAATGAAAATGGAGACCCAGCAGCAAAGTATGAAATAATAAACTGGCAGCCAACAGAAAATGGCATTGTGGACTTTGTCACAGTTGGTCTTTATGATACATCTTTACCTGCAGACAAACAGCTGAATCTGCAAAATAAGTCTTTAATATGGACACAGAACTCACAACAGGTAAGCTATCATGTGATCACTGTAATTGTTAATGAAAGTATATTTAAATTGTTATTAGTCAATTAGTTAGTCATTACTTTGTGTATAATAATAAATAAGTTTTGGTTTTGTTGCACCAAAATTAATAATAGATACTGGCAAAGATAACACATTGACAGAGTGAACAGCCATTAATTTTGTTCATGCAGGTGCCAGTGTCAGTTTGCAGTGAGAAATGTCCACCAGGAACTCAAAAGGTTCTCCAGAAAGGAAAGCCTATCTGCTGCTATGATTGTTTAAGATGTGCAGAGGGAGAAATCAGCAACATTACAGGTGTAGTAATATTAAGAGTAATATTATTACAATTATTACAAGACACATGTCTACAAGTTGTCACTTTCACATAGAAATTTTAAATAATGGCATAGTTTTGTAATCTAATTCCAAAGGCATGATGTTAGGGCTACATTATATCAAAAATGTAATTCAAACATCAAATATCCTTAACATATATTGACAGATGAGTATGAAATCAGCTACATAAACTTATGGACAATCTTAAAAAATGGTGAAAAATGTTTGCAAAGTGTGTTTAACATGACTTCAGCTGCATTTATCATAGAAAATGAGAAAATCCCTGGGAATATTGGGGCAGCCTGTGTTTTTCCAGGCCATTCATTCACAGACTTCTTGGGTCACATCCATGGGAGGAGAAAGGAGGGGTTGTGGCAGATGTGGTCAGCAGCAGTGTATTATTTGGTACAACTGTGCAATGAGCCACAAGGTCAGAAATGATTAATCATGAAGTTGATTATGAGGTGCTTAAGGTAATTGGAACCATAAATAAATGAAGGCTGGGTCAGCTCATTCAAATTACAAAAAGATGTACAGTTTTATTCTCAACTGCTCCTATTGATATCTGAACTTAGTTAATAGCACTTAATATAAATGCAATAAATAGCAATTTTGCTACAGCCTTGAAAATTGATATCTGAAAGATGCAGCAGCATGATACCATGAAATAGTTTAGCTTAGTTATTCAAAAGTTTCAAAAAAAAAAATTATTAATAATACCTCTTTAAACTGTATTGTATCTTGTCCAAATCCTTCATGATGACACCATGTAGCTTTCACAGTGTTATCCATTTAGTTGTTATATAGGAAAAGAAAGGATGCGACTTAGAGACCAAAATGACAACATACTGAGCAAATCTAACACTAGCTTCAATATTATTATTTTTTCAGATTCTATAACCTGTGTGCGGTGCCATCCTGAGTTCTGGTCAAATGAGAGAAGAGATGCCTGTGTAAAGAAGGAGGCAGAGTTTCTATCATATGAAGAGATTATGGGAGCACTGCTTACGGCAGCCTCTCTATTTGGAACATGTATGACAGCAGTTGTGGCCTTCATTTTCTTCAGATACAGACAGACTCCTATTGTCAGAGCCAACAACTCTGAGCTGAGCTTCCTGCTGCTCTTCTCATTGACTCTGTGTTTCCTGTGCTCTCTGACCTTCATCGGCCGGCCCTCTGAGTGGTCCTGCATGCTGCGACACACCGCATTCGGCATCACATTTGTCCTCTGTATCTCTTGTGTTCTGGGGAAAACAATAGTGGTGTTAATGGCCTTTAGGGCTGCACGTCCAGGTAGTAATACGATGAAATGGTTTGGGCCTGCACAACAGAAACTCAGCGTCCTGGGTTTCACTCTTATACAAGTTGTCATATGTATCCTCTGGTTATCAATTTCTCCTCCTTTTCCCTTTAAGAATTTTAAAGAGTTTAAGGACAAAATCATCTTAGAGTGTGCTCTGGGCTCAGCTGTAGGCTTTTGGGCTGTACTTGGGTACATCGGAGTTCTGGCTATGTTATGTTTTAGTCTTGCTTTTCTGGCACGGAAACTGCCTGATAATTTCAATGAAGCCAAATTAATCACCTTTAGCATGTTGATATTCTGTGCAGTGTGGATCACTTTTATCCCAGCGTATGTCAGCTCTCCTGGGAAGTTCAGTGTTGCTGTGGAGATATTTGCTATTCTGGCTTCAAGTTTTGGACTGCTCATTTGTATTTTTATTCCAAAATGTTACATCATTTTACTCCAACCAGAGAAGAACACAAAAAGGAATATGATGGGGAAGGGGGCACCAAAATTATCCTGAAAAGTTAAAATAATATTTTGGGAAAGGCATTTGGTCCAATATGGTGGTGACGTTGATGTACCATCTCTCTGGCCTGTGCGGTATTTAGGTATATATGTCTATGGCCTTGATGCCCTCCTCATATGGTCCACTTGCCACTGTGGCCTTCGTGCTCCGCTCTCTGCCTGTTGTATTTTTTTCCTACCCCATCCTGCCTCTATGCCCACTCCTGTCAAGTCCGCCCTGGCAACAGAATGTTAGTAATGTTACATGTACTTGATTGTAAAGGTAACATAATCAACACATGTGGCATGACCAATAAAAATGCAATCCTGAAAGTGCTCTCGTTTTGAAGTCCTACTTACTGTGGAGCATGACTTCTCATGCACTAACTAAAGTTACTATCATTGGCTGGCTACTCAGCCAGCTAACCTTTCCTTTGCTCTCTTCTGCCTATGTATAAGTAACCTATATATTATTATATATATTTTTCTTCCCCCTGATAATTCTATTTTGTGAACAACAATTCAAACAATGCAACCATGTGATGTTAATAGTCAGCTGAAAAAGCAAACTTCATCAGCCGACAGGGCAAAAGTCATGGTAGCTATCCTTTTTAGTCATTTTTTGCTTTGTATTTGATGGTTGCTGTATGCTATGAATGTAAAGAATCAATACTATGTCTCCCTCCCCCTCCTGAGCAACTTCTCCCCTGGCAATTTGAACCACCAGGTGAAATTTTTACTTTTGCTGTGATTGAGAGTCAATGCCATAGATTAATTAAGCGTGATTGAGGACCAATAGCTCAGAAGTAGAATCTCTGATTAATATAGGAACCATATTAAATTGTCCCATGTACCAAGGTTAAGTCTTTGCTGCAGCGGCTAAGGGTTCGAATCTGACTTGTAGCCCTTTGCTGCGTGTTATCCCCTCTATCTCCCCCTTTCCTGTCACTCTTAAGCAGTCACTTTCAATTAAAGGCAATAAAAGCCCCCTAAAAAAAACCAAAACATTTTATTAGGTCTCTTCTTTACTGCATGATCTGTAATACCATGCTCCTCTTTCATTCATTAATTGTTCATCACTCTATTCACTGCATTTAGTCATGGCACCATGTATTCTGTCATTTGTATTAGTCATTTATATAGTTAGTAGTTTAAAAACCCTTTCATTTATGAAGCTGAGTACATGGTTTGTGTGTATGAAGAATCACAGTCAAATCTGGAATTGGAGCAGAGACCAAAGCAGAGGTAAAAGGAGAGTGAATGTTGGACTTATCACCACCATGGACAAACACAACTTTTAATGAATGCTAACATTGCTCTGTGTCTGCCTAATGTTTAAATAAGCTTGCAAGTTTTGCATAAACCATAGGCATACCCTGTTGCACTGAGCCACAAAAAAACCCACTTAAACATCCAGTGAGTAACATTTATGAGGATCTATTGTCAAAAACGTAATATAATATGCATAGGTATGTTTTCATTAGTGTATAATCACCTGAATAAAGAAATCGTTATGTTTTCATGACACAAGAATATCTACAGACGTCATGGAACACCACTGTGCTTCTACAGTAGCCGAATGGATAAACCAAAACTGGCTCTAGGTATGGCCATTTTTATATTATGTGCATTTTGAGGCCTAGCATAGTTTCTTCCTCGTACTTGGAAAGAGAGGGTGAAATGAGTGAGTTTCAATTTGCTTTTAAATTGAAATTATATATCAAAGTATAAATTGCTTTTGTACAGCCCAATTGAATATTCTTACATTATGGCATACACAGTTAGGATACTTAAAACAGACGAAGGCCCAAAACCCTTTTCTGTTTCAGCACCTCCCTCCACTCGCCCCACCTTGTAGGTCCACAGAGATAAAACAAAGCTGTAAAATATATATTGGTGAAAGCTTTTGATTTACATTAAGGCACATGTGCTGCAACACAGTCTCAGTATGACGTCCACACAGAGTTGTCCAGAGAAGGGTTGGGCACTCTTACAGCTGTTGTTGGTTGTGTCTTTCTCTCAGGCTGAGGAGATTGTATGCAGGCGGCTAGGGGATCCAGAGAAACCTCAGCTATTGAAGGATGGGGACGTTATTGTGGGGGGAATATTTGCTTTCCACAGCAGCTGGAAAGAAAGAAAGGACACCTACATGCACAAACCGCTGCCATTGCAGTGCACCAGGTAAATTATACTATAGTAATTTATTTTGATTTGAAATATTTAAGTGGAATTGGTAACAGATGCAAAACAGTTATAAAAAAGGTTATCATACGGAGTACGAAAAAAAGAAATATTCCTTGTTATGTATATCACCAAATACTTTAATTTACTCTGCTATTGTTTCTATTTCAAGGAGAAACTGCAGTTTCAACTATTTATAACTGTTCGCATGAAGTTTGAATTTCAGAGGGTTCCAGTATGCCCAGGCTATGCTCTTTGCCATAGAGGAGATTAATAACAGCACAGACCTACTGCCTGGCATCTCTCTGGGCTACAAGATCTATGATGACTGTGGCTCCATTGCCAGAGGTGTGACGGTTACATTGACCTTGGCTAATGGTAATGAAATAGTATCTGCACTCTCCGAGGCTCCATGTACCAGACCTGTCCAAGTGCAGGCTATTGTGGGAGAGACCTCTTCCTCTCCTTGCATGGCTATATCTACTGTCATCGGACCCTTTCATATCCCACTGGTGGGTAAAATTGCAAGAAATTAAATATATTTCTGAAAAAAATATAAAAAAAAATAAAAATCCAGTTGGTCATGGCAACATTAGTTTTTAAAACAATTGTGGTGTGCTGTGTAAATGTTTTATCTTTATCTTGGGATATCATTTATTCCTCTTTTAGATCAGCCACTTTGCTACTTGCGCTTGTCTCAGTGATAAAACCAAGTACCCATCCTTCCTCAGAACAATACCCAGTGACTACTACCAGAGCAGAGCCCTGGCTCAGTTAGTCAAGCACTTTGGTTGGACTTGGGTTGGATCTATAAGAACAAATGATGATTACGGCAATAATGGAATGGCCACTTTCACAGAAACCGCAAAGCAGCTGGGCATTTGTCAGGAATATTCTGTATCTTTCTTTAGGACAGATCCACCAGATAAAATACAAAAGATAATTGATATAATCAAAGCTTCCACTTCTAAGGTGATTGTCGCTTTCCTCAACCACATGGATATGGATGTACTAATACATGAGTTGTCCAAACACAACCTGACTGGGTACCAGTGGGTAGGCAGTGAGGGCTGGATCTCTGATTCCCAAATTGCAGCCATGGATAGGCATCACATTATGGATGGTGCCATAGGCCTGGCAATCCCAAAAGTACATGTCAGTGGCATGAGAGAGTTCATTTTGGATGTGAAGCCACTCAGTTCATCAAGTAATGAATTGTTTATAGAGTTTTGGGAGACATTATTTAGCTGCAAGTTCAAGCAGTCAAAGTCATCAACAGGGAATCAGAGAGAATGTACTGGAGATGAAGATCTGAGTGAAGTGCAAAACAGCTTCACTGATATGTCGCTCATGCCTATATTTTACAATGTCTATAAAGGAGTGTATGCTGTGGCCCACGCTCTTCATAATATTCTCAGCTGTAATAAAACATGTAACAACACAGTGCAGCTAGATCCATCCATGGTGAGTTATACATTATAGACTTACGTTATAGTTTTTATGTCAAGTCATACTAACAATGAAAATGGTTTAAATTTTGAATATCATCATAGATTTTACAGCACATCAGAAAGATTCATTTCAAAACAAAGGAAGGAGATGAGGTTTACTTTAATGAGTATGGAGATCCAGCAGCAAAGTATGAAATTATAAACTGGCAGCCAACAGAAAATGGCATTGTGGACTTTGTTACAGTTGGTCTTTATGATGCATCTTTACCTGCAGACAAACAGCTGACTCTGCAAAATAAGTCTTTAATTTGGGCACAGAACTCACAACAGGTAAGATGTGATCGCTGTAACTGTTAATGACAGACTATTTGAATTATTATTATTATCGTATAATAGTTGTTCATCTTAATGTATTTAAAACTATTATTTGATGCTTGCAAAGATAACACCTTGTCAGTGTGAATGCCCATACATATTTCTCATAGTAGATTTGTTCATGCAGGTGCCAGTGTCAGTGTGCAGTGAGAAATGTCTCCCAGGAACTCGAAAGGTTCTCCAGAAAGGAAAGCCTATCTGCTGCTATGACTGTTTAAGATGTGCAGAGGGAGAAATCAGCAACATCACAGGTGTAGTGATATTTCATGCAAGGCAAAATGACAATTTTAAGAAATTGCATAGTTTTGTAATCTGATTTCAAAAGTACTAGAATAATTCTTGCATGGAATATAAAGTATATGTTGTCCTTTGAGCAAAAAAACTAACAAAACAATATAATGATCAAAAATGAAGACATAACATATCTAAACAAATACATGTCTGAAATCAGTACAATACACCCTTGGTCACATCCATAGGGTGAGGGATTATGTCTTTTTTTAGCAGCAGTAACAGAAATTATTAATTTCAAAGTATTTTCTTAAAATAACAAAATAGTGCAATGATACTATTACAAAAATAACTGTAAAATGTTCAATAAACTTTCAGCTCATCACAAATTACAAAAACACCTACATTACATTCTCATGTCCTCCTCATATCTTTGTATACAAGTATTTGGTCTTATCTGCTGATGTCTTGCAATACATTCATTTAGATTGAATGCAATTGTGTTTGTGCTACAGCGCTTAAAATTGACATTTAAACATACACAGCATGATTCAGAAATAAATCAAATCAACAAAAATTAAGTTAATACCTCTTTATACTGTATCTTGCACTTCCAAGACACAAATCATTCAGGATGATACCACGTAATAAGGGTATTAATTTATTATCTTGTAATCATGTATTGACTGTTTTGATGGCACAAAAAACTATTCGACATAGAGACAGCAAAAGGTAAATGTAATAAGCAATTCTAACACCTGTGTCAATATTGTATTTCAGATTCTATCACATGTTTACGATGCGACTCTGAATTCTGGTCAAATGAGAGAAGAGATGCCTGTGTAAAGAAGGAGGCAGAGTTTCTATCATATGAAGAGATTATGGGAGCACTGCTTACTGCAGCCTCTCTATTTGGAACATGTCTGACTGCTTTTGTGGCGTTCATTTTCTTCAGACACAGACAGACTCCTATTGTCAGAGCCAACAACTCTGAGCTGAGCTTCCTGCTGCTCTTCTCATTGACTCTGTGTTTCCTGTGTTCTCTGACCTTCATCGGCCGGCCCTCTGAGTGGTCCTGCATGCTGCGACACACCGCATTCGGCATCACCTTTGTCCTCTGTATCTCTTGTGTTCTGGGGAAAACAATAGTGGTGTTAATGGCCTTCAGAGCCACACTTCCAGGGAGTAATTTGATGAAATGGTTTGGGCCTGCACAGCAGAAACTCAGTGTTCTGGGTTTCACTTTTATACAAGTTATCATATGTATCCTCTGGTTATCAATTTCTCCTCCTTTTCCTTTTAAGAATTTTAAGGAGTTTAAGGACAAAATCATTTTAGAGTGTCATCTGGGCTCACCTGTAGGCTTTTGGGCTGTACTTGGGTACATAGGACTTCTGGCCATATTATGTTTTATTCTTGCTTTTCTGGCTCGGAAGCTGCCTGATAATTTCAATGAGGCCAAATTTATCACCTTCAGCATGTTGATATTCTGTGCAGTGTGGATCACTTTTATTCCAGCGTATGTCAGCTCTCCTGGGAAGTTCAGTGTTGCTGTGGAGATATTTGCTATTCTGGCTTCAAGTTTTGGACTGCTCATTTGTATTTTTATTCCAAAATGTTACATTATCTTACTGAAACCAGAGAAGAATACAAAAAAGAATATGATGGGGAAGGGGGCACCAAAACCTTCCTGAAAACGTCAAATGATAAGTGGACGAAAGAATTCTAATGCCACTTTAATTTTTACAAAAGAATTTGTTCACCAGATCGTCATTTCATTGACCTAGTATAGGGCTGCACACTTAATCGAATAGTGATTGCGATCACAAGTTTGGCTTCCCACACTCATACGAACTTGATGGTCTATGATATTGCCATTTAGAATACATGGTTGGTTCATTGAAAACTCCACTGCATATCAAATCAAATGCTTCCTAAACTAACAGCCATCCACCACGTTTAATCAAGTTATGGTTTACTTTTGGTGAGCTCTTCTGTCGAACACACACACACACACACACACACACACACACACACCCTGCTACTGCAGCCTGGGTACTTTAATTAATGGAAAAAATACTGTATAAAGTTACTGTTCATGAAAACCGAACATTTCCTACTGCTCCAGCTTAACATTAAAACCATTTAAAACACAAATTGACTTTTATTTTGCAGTAAGCTAGTCACTGGAAGTTTAAAGTTTTTGTCAACGGTCATACTCTGAAGTTTTCATATCAGTTTTAAATATGTCAGGGAGTAATGGAACAAGAAGGAGCAGCCACAGAGAGATGTTTGATGAAGAGCTGCAGGCGATACAGCACAACTCCAAAAAAATAATTGTGATTATTATTTTGGCCATAATCGTGCAGCCCTATCCTAGTGCATTATGTCTTCACTGTAGATTATTTTCTGTGATGTATCATATTGAGATTATAGCATTTAATATAATGTAAAATGCAATACATATATTAAATGGTGCTCACACAATAATGGCAAGTTTTGACAGTTTGACATGTGGACGGGAGGATCAAGCCACCAGCTCTACACATCCCTAATACCTAATTCCTTGATGTTACAGTTTAGTTTGTTGTTTTGTAAAATTGTAATCAAAGAATAAAATCACCAGTTTAATTTTGCTTCCTTTTATCTCTTGACGTTTGAGTTCAACCATGATAACTTCCCCCTTGTTGAACTGTTGAGTTGATTGTTCCAGCCTAAAGAGCAGAGCAGCGTTTTTGGGGAATTTGTAAAATAAATACATAATGATGATTCCAACACTGAATGTCTTCTTTGATTATTTATCAATGTTTCTGAATTTAAAAGAGTTATTGTTGTTGTTTGCCTTCTACCATCAATTCCATTAGCCTTTGGTTGAGTCTATCAGAGGCTGTGTTTCTAACTAGGCATGTGTGTGGCATCTCTGATCTGAAACACATTGTGTAATGGAATAACATACATATAACATAGGAATATACAATACTGTTAGGGCAGCACCAGAAATAATAAGCAGAATAGCGTAAATGTCCTAAATCAGTTGTCCATTCTCTTTTGTGCATTTGAATAGTATTGTAAGGCATGTGCCCAGGGCACATGGAACATTTCTTTTTTTTTTTTACATATTTATTTTAGGTTATGTCAGAAGAAAGGCAGTAGTGATAGACATACCATTCCAAATATTAATTCAAAAGATTAATTCAACAAATCAGTGCTTCAGTGCTTGACCTGAGCTCTGACTGTCAAGTCTCGCTAACTAGTAACTGTCATTGTTGATACAGCAAACTGAAAGCTCAACCTATCTGACCTAATTTGTGAAGTATGTACATTTGTACACACCTATAATTAGGAAGGAGTGAGTGAAGCTACTATGGTCTGATGTGCTATCAAGCAGGGTTTGACACTTAAACCTGGTTCACACAGCCTGCTTCTGCAGTCTTGTTTTTTTTTTGGCACCCATATTAACAGATTAGAGTGGTCGCACTGCCCATGTGAGACGTCTCAGCTGCAGCTGATTCGAGGAGTCGACTATTTTTTTGTATTTTTACCATAAGCCGCACAAACCACACTTGCTTTCTGGTTGTCACTCTTCACATTTACATTTATATTCCATATGTATGGAAATGTAAATTAAATCATATGAAGAATTGAATTTTTCATGGAGATTATAAAAAGAAAAGGGTATGAGGAAACACAGGGCTGGCAGCAGCAGCTCCACAGCAGTCACACTCTGGGTGTGAACGCTGCGCCATGCGCCATATACACCACCCATTGGCACGCTGTTCTAGTACATATTGTTTTTATAGGCTACATAGTAATGACGGTAGCAGTTTATTTAACACTAGAACTGTAAACAGGTAAAATTTACACAGAACTTTTTTTCAATAGTTTATATATGAAATATGACAGAGAGGCATAATGCACAAAATCTTTATTAGAAATGTATTACAATTTTAAAAATGTTAGACTCCAAAGGAAACTGAGCCTAAATAATTCTGCAGGATGACACAAAGATTTTTCCATGCTTTCAAGATTGAAGAAAATACAATCAATATATCAATAAAAATATATCAAAGTACATCGTAAATCCCCAAAAGTCAAGCAATAATCTTACTATCAGTGGAGAAATATTTTCTTCAACAAGCAGGAATAACATTATTTGTGTGTGGTATTGTCTGCAAATGTCCATTGTGACAACACTGTATGCATATTACTGGGTTAAAGGTGTGACTAATCCATCCACACAAATGCATAGGACAGAAATTGCTTACAATAAATTAATAAATAGTACTTTGGGATACCCTTACAACTTTTCCTAGCTGTTTCAAAGCTTTTAATTTTATGTAGTGAAAAACACAAGTCTGGGACACAGACTTCAGGATATATGCATGAATTATTTTTTAAACGCACTCACACCAGCAGCCTGTTTTTTAGGAATTGTCCCTTTGGTGACATCCTTTGTCCATCTAGATAGAGGAAAAACTTCTGCAGACCTATATATGTGCATTTGAGTTCTGATGAGAAGCATCAGTCAAGAGTCCAAAGAAAGCAAGCACAATGCTCCACATTTCTAAATAACCCTTTAGGACAATCGCGTTCTCTGGGTCAGGTTTTACACCATCTCTCTGCATGACATACTCCACATCACACACAGCTCTATGGAACTGCTGGCCACAGTGCCTGTGTTCTGTTGGGTAAAAATACAAAAAATGCCCATGGTCAAATAAAATAATGTTTAAAAAAGTTTAAAAGATACACATTATTTTCTAACGCATGTTCTGGAAATCTTACATTCACAAATGTTTCACAAATTCACACATTTAAGTAAAGGAGAAGTTCACCCCGAAAAAACAACAAAAATAACCTTTTTTCTTTTCTTACCTGTAGTACTATTTATCCATCTAGTTTGTTTTGCTGTGAGTTGCTGAGTTTTGTAGCTATTGGCAGTACAGGTAAGAGGAAAAATATGTACTTTTGATTTTAAGGAGAACTGCCCCTTTGACAGCATCATGAAAAGAGTTATAATAGAAGTAAGAAGTAATACAGATGCATTTATATGTAAAATGGTAACAAGTTAAATCAAAGTGTTTGGATATCACATTAAGCATTCTGACATATTCATTGTGAGACTAGTAAAGGAAAAAGAGACAAAACACACTGAAAGAGCCACAGACTTGAGCTGCTGATACAGTGCATCAGTCAGCCACATCAAGAGCTCTGCAGACTGGCCTATGGGAGTGTGGACATGGTTTTGAAATCATAAGTCAAAATCAAAAGTAGTGTTTTTTGAAAAATATAACACTTCCTGAGGAAAACTTACTGTCAAATATGAGGTTTGAAGCCTCATGATGTGGAGGCACTTTTCATTCAGCTGGGCTATGACATGTTGTGAAAAACTAAGAATGGAGCATAATGAAGAAAGTCACTGCAAGAGAACCAGTCTCGAGCAGGACAATAATTCTGCAATCAATATTTCTCTACGTTGTCACACTTAATGAATTTAAGAAGCAACCCATCGTGTATATGTTTATGTTCAGTGTCTCATGGTTTTCATTAGATAGGTGCACTAAGACTGAAACATCCACAATATGGAGAACAATAATATCTATCTATCTATCTATCTATCTATCTATCTATCTATCTATCTATCTATCTATCTATCTATCTATCTATCTATCTATCTTTTGAAAGTTAATGAATTAGGTGGAGCTGGTAGACCTGGCACCCCATGTACCAAGGCTGCAGCAGCCATGGGTTTCTCTTTGCTGTGTGCTGCCACCTTTCTCTCTTCCCTTTCCTGTTGCACTTCAGCTATCAAAAAAAGAACTAAATCAAAGTCAATGGACTAAAACACAAACCTTCAACATTGAAAAAGTATTACAATTAAACACCCTAAAATATGAAGGCCGTCATGATTATGTAACCCTTCACTTACAAGTACAAGTACAGTATGAGAGCAGAAAATATGCAAAACTCCACCTGATTGAAAAGATCAAGAGACAGTATAAGTTCCACCACAGAGCCAACCGTACAGATACTAATATGTTATTACAGACTGAATGCAGTTTTTTCAATTATATTTGCAATTATCTTCCCTTACAAAATAAAGCTGCCGAGTGTACAGCCTACAGTAAACCTTCATTTAAATCCACAAAGCAGTTTCAATTCAATTGACAGCCTAGCATTAAGAAATGCAAAATATGTTTCCTTCGATGGTTCCCTACAATATGTTGAATAATGCAGCAGAATATTTTTTATCTGTAATTTATACCTGTTGAGGGAGGAGTGTCTGTGTTGCAGCACGCATGCACACACACACACACACACACACACACACACACACACACACACAGCTACACACACAGCCTGAAGCTCTGAACTCTGTTTATGACTTGGTTTGAAGTTTTCTGCTCATAACAACCTCAGATGCCCAGGCCAAATACACCAACCAGAGTCTCCGTCATACATGGGTGTGGGCACAGTGATAGCTTAACTTTCAGAAAACACCGGTGGCCATTAAGTGAACTGCAGTCAGCATCATCTTACACATGCTCACACTCCCTAAACAGGCATGAGAAGCATCATCCTGGGCATGGGCCAAAAGTGACACACAAACATATCACTGAATGCTTAAAAATAAATTACAATAATATTTAGAATAATTTTAATATTTGTAATGTTACATTATATATAAAAAAAAAAAAAAAAAAACTTCCCTCTCACCCTCTTGGGGTGGTATCTGTGTGTCATCCGCAAGCTCGGGTCCTCTACCAGAGGCCTGGGAGTTTGAGGGTTCTGCGCAGTATCTTAGCTGTTCCTAGGACTGCGCTCTTCTGGACTGAGGTTTCTGATGTTGTTCCTGGGATCTGTTGGAGCCACTGCCCCAGTTTGGGGGTCACTGCCCCAAGTGCTCCTACTACCACGGGGATCACGCTCGCCTTGACCTTCCACATCTGCTCCAGCTGTTCTTTTAACCCTTGGTACATTTCAACCTTCTCGTGTTCTCTCTTTCTGATGTTGGCGTCTGCTGGTATGGCCACATCTATCACCACCGCTTTCTTCTGCTCCTTGTCCACTTGTACCACCACTATGTCCGGTTGGTTGGCCAGGACCTGTTTGTCAGTCTGTAATCTGAAGTCCCATAGCACCTTGGCCCTGTTGTTCTCAGCCACCTTCTGTGGTGCAGCCCATTGGGATTTGGGTACTTCTATTCCATACTGGGTACAGATGTTCCTGTACACTATTCCAGCCACTTGGTTGTGTCTCTCCATGTACGCTGAATCCTGGATAGTGGCCTTGATGCTCACTAGTCCTCAGCCTCCCTCTTTCCGCTTAGCGTACAGTCTCAGGGTGCTGGATTTGGGGTGAAACCTTCCGTGCATGGTGAGGAGCTTTCTTGTCTTGATATCTGTGGCTTCTATCTCCTCCTTTGGCCAGCTTATGATCCCAGCAGGGTATCTGATGACTGGCAGTGCATACATGTTGATGGCTTGGATCTTGTTCCTGCCATTCAGCTGACTTATCAGGACCTGCCTTACTCTCTGGAGGTATTTGGTTGTGGTTGACTGGTATATATATATATATATATATATATATATATATATGTTTTTTTGTTTCTAAATTACCCAATCAGCCAACACAAGACAGACTTTGTCAGCTGCTAACGAAGTAACTTGCAAACTATGCCGAGCAATTTGTCCTTGTTCGCAAGAATGCTAAATAAGAGCTTAATATCATAACGTGTTGCTATCGCAATGATCAAACAAGTTCATGCAGTGGCTTTATTGCTGAAACATCATTGAATGACGTCTGATTGTATGATTTCAAAAGGCTAGCCCAAAATTGTTCAAATCAACTGAATCAGGAGGTTTTGACTATGCCATCGGCTGTACATTCAGCTACATCACTTTCATTCTTCATTATTATAGTGAGTGTATAAATTGTGTCCATAATGTTAAATATTACACTATTAATATAATATAATACTACTAATATTCGGATACCATATACAGTTAGGAAAATGCTAAGGCCCAGAGCTCTGTTTGGTTACCTCCCTCCTTTTGCCCCACCTTGAAGGTCCAGAGATAAAACATCTATCATTATTTGTATGCTGCTCCAACATGTATAAATACCAGTGCAAGCTTTTGATTTACATTAAGATACATGTGATGCCACCCAGTGGTTTAGTTTTCTTAGACATTATGATGTCCATAGAGAGGTGGCCAGAGCAGGGTTGGGCACTCTTACAGATTTTTTTGCTGGCATCTTTCTCTCAGGCTGAGGAGCCGGTGTGCAGGCACAGAGGGGATCCTGAGAACCCCCAGCTATCTAAGGATGGAGACATTATGCTAGGTGGGATCTTCTCTTTCCACAGCAGCTGGAGAGACAGACAGGATACCTATATGCACAAACCACTGCCACTGCAGTGCACCAGGTAAATTATATTGTAGAAATCTAAAAATGTCAAAACTCTAAGTGAGTACAGTAATCAGAATCAAAATAAGAAATATAATTTGTTGCGTCTATTGATACCATCAAATGTTTTTATTTACTATGTTATTGTTTCTATTTCAAGTACAAATTGTTTGCATTTTCAATTATTTTATGGGGTTTGAAACGTTTTGTCCACCTGTTACTGAGTTCCATAAACTACCAGCCACTCAATTTTTTTACCGGACACTTTATTGTTTCAACCAGAAATTGTGTGTGAAAAATAATAAAACAATCCACAATAATCAAGGCATAGGCTATCTTTACTTTTTGACTCAGACTTTATGTTACCAAACTTCAATCATTAAAGATCATTACTGAACAATATTTATAACAATAAGTTTTGTAAAATAGCTGTCAAATCAAATAAAGGGAATGTGTTGCTCTAAGGGGGAATTTGGCTAGATGGAGCACATATTGACACAATGACACTGGCATCCTGGCTCTGATATATATTTTTTTGAAATAAATAAAAAGTATAATGTTAAAATCATAGAATAATGTTAGCATAATATTCCTAATGATATGATACTAGTAGTAGTACATTACATTTGCATATAATAGTACACTATAGTTCCTTTATTTAAACCTACACTGGTGGCTACTCTACTTTTTTTTACTGTATGTACTGACATGTCAATAATCATAACAATTCATTCAAAAGTTGAGCACATCAACCTTTTTTTTATGCATAATGGCTGTGATTTCTTAGTCGGTCGAGCAAAAATTGAAACAGGTTGTTCCCTATCTTATCCCTAGTTTCTTCTGTCTTACGGCTTCTTCTTTTTGTACAATCTGCTCAAGTGGGTCACAGAGCAACAAGCCTACAGGAATGTCTCATTACTATTCTTTCTACAAATCCATATGATGCACTTGTGCACGTGTCCTGTCCGATTATGACCCCTGCAAAAAAAATGTCTGTGTCTCCTCGTTAAAGTGTCCAGTGGAAAAAAGCACACTCGTGATTCAATCTGCGTTGTGGAATGTTAAAAAATTGCTCTAGTCCGCTAATTTTATTTACATGTCCCTATGGCTGGTCGGTTCAGCAAATTCACCTGCAAATACACAAAACAACCTGCATTTGAAGGTGCCAATTTCCAACCATGCTTTCTGCATCAAGTTTGAATTTCAGAGGTTTCCAGTTTGCCCAGGCTATGCTCTTTGCCATAGAGGAGATTAATAACAGTACAGACCTACTGCCTGGCATCTCTCTGGGCTATAAGATCTACAATGCCTGTTCCTCCATTGCCAGAGGTGTGAGGGTCGCACTGGCCTTGGCTAATGGTAATGAAGTTGTATCGGCATCCCCCAATACACCATGTACCAGACCTGCCCAAGTGCAGGCCATTATGGGAGAGACATCTTCCTCTCCTTGCATGGCTATAGCTACTGTCATCGGACCCTTTCATATCCCAATGGTGGGTAAGATTAGCAAAAATTTAATTATATTAGTGAAACATAATTAAGATTCTGTAATTCTTCCAGCTGATCATAGCAAAAGAGGTTATATGAGAATTGTATTGTTCTATGTAAATGTTTTATTTCTTTATCTTGGGACATCATTTCTTTTTTCTTTTAGATCAGCCACTTTGCTACTTGTGCTTGTCTCAGTGATAAAACCAAGTACCCAACCTTCCTCAGAACAATACCCAGTGACTACTACCAGAGCAGAGCCCTGGCCCAGTTGGTCAAGCACTTTGGTTGGACTTGGGTTGGAGCTATTAGAACAAATGATGATTACGGCAACAACGGCATGGCCACATTTATAGAAACTGCCCAGCAGCTGGGCATCTGTCTGGAGTACTCTGTATCTGTCTTTAGAACAGATCCACCAGAAAAAATACAGAAGGTAATTGACATTATCAAGGCCTCCACTTCCAAGGTGATTGTCGCTTTCCTCTCCCACAAGGATATGGATGTGCTATTACATGAGTTGTCTCCACACAAGCTGACTGGGTACCAGTGGGTAGGCAGTGAGAGCTGGATCTCTGATTCCCAAATTGCAACAATGGATAGGCATCACATTCTGGATGGTGCCGTTGGCATGGCAATCCCTAAAGCACATGTTAGTGGCATGAGAGAGTTCATGTTGAATGTGAAGCCGCTCAATTCATCAAGTAATGGAATTTTTACAGAGTTTTGGGAGACATTATTTAACTGCAAGTTCAAGCAGTCAAAGTCATCAACAGGGAATCAAAGTGAATGTACTGGAGATGAAGATCTGACTGGAGTGCAAAATAGTTTCACTTATATGTCACTCATGCCTATCTTTAACAACATCTACAAAGGAGTGTATGCTGTGGCCCACGCACTTCATAATATTCTCAACTGTAATAAAACATGTAACAACAATGTGCAGCTAGATCCATTCATGGTGAGTTTAGTTGAAACTAAATACATTTTACACAAAATCACATTAACAGAGAAAATGGTTTGAATTTTGAAAAGTAATTTGTTGCAGTCAGTATTTCTATCATACTGTCGAGGCAATATGCCCATAAAATGTTTGTCAGTTAATGATCTACACTGATGCATATCTTTTTAGATTTTACAGCACATAAGAAAGATTCAGTTCGAAACAAAGGAAGGAGATGAGGTTTACTTTAATGAGTATGGAGACCCAGCAGCAAAGTATGAAATTATAAACTGGCAGCCAACAGAAAATGGCATTGTGGACTTTGTTACAGTTGGTATTCATGATGCGTCTTTACCTGCAGACAAACAGCTCAATCTGCAAAATAAGTCTTTAATTTGGGCACAGAACTCACAACAGGTAAGATACCACCTGATCACTGTAACTGTCAAATACTGTCTATTTCAATTGTTATCATTCTGACTATATCATATTTTTCTTTCTCAATGCATCGTCAGTGCAATATTAATAGTAGAACACTTTTGGCACCTCTTTGTTATTGCAGGTGCCAGTGTCAGTTTGCAGTGAGAAATGTCCTCCAGGAACTCGAAAGGTTCTCCAGAAAGGAAAGCCTGTCTGCTGCTATGACTGTTTAAGGTGTGCAGAGGGAGGAATCAGCAACATCACAGGTGTAGTAATTAATGCAACACAAAACAAAAATCAATAAAAGTTTTGTTCACATACCAATTTTAAGAAATGGCATAGTTTTATAGTCTGGAACATGGACTGGATACCACAATTATATAGTCTTTTCAGCAAACAAAAAACAAAATTATGAATAAATACATCAAATATCACCACCTTAATGTGGTGGTGGGTTTTGTGTTTCTCTGTTATCCTGGGAGCTGTGTCGTCACATATGACATATGTAATCTGATCACCGCCTGGTGCTGAATTGGATCAGATGGCAGGGGTTGCAGCTTGTCGAGGCCCCTGTCCATGAGGTATTTAACTGCACCTCCAGATGAGTTTCTTGTGCATCCTGGGGGAGGTTGGGGACATGTATTCTGAGTGGGCCATTTTTAACACCTCTATTGTAGAGGCAGCTGGTCGGAGCTATGTGTCATTGATGCTTGCTGTGGCGGCTACCTAAGAAGTGAAAAAAAACATTGAGCAGGAGAAGGGGGCCTTTTGGGATTGGTTGATCCAGGGGTCTCCTGAATCTGCAGAAAGGTACCAGGAAGCCAGAAGGGTTGCAGTTGCCACAGTTATAAAAGCAAAAGCCTGGGTGTGGGAGGAGTTCTGGGAGGACATAGAGAAGGACTTTAAGTTGTCCTCAAGGAAGTTCTGCCAAACTGTTTAAAAAGCACAGCTTGGCCCTGGCTGTGTTCTGCTGAGGAGGAGAACTGCTGGGCTATTGTTGAGTAATGGAAAGAGCAATTTGAGGAGCTCCTGAACTCAGGGGAAGCCTCACCTCCATATTCTTGGCAGAGGTTGCACCTTTTTGTGGATGATGTGATTCTATTGGCTTTGTCAGACTGTGACCTCTTGCACCAAGGTTCTTTGCAATGAATTGCTTCTTTTGGGTTGGGAGTGAGTTACTGCTACTGTGAAATACAGCTATTTACTCAGTTTGATAAACGCCAACAGACAGCAGTGTTTATAAACAGCAGCTCAGAAAAGATCTGAGTCACACGCTCATATGCTGAAACAGAAACAAAACTTGCACTTTCCAGCAGCAGCAACCTGTGTGTGGACCAGTCCAGACACTATGGGCATGATGGCACTCACAGGTACACATAATTTGAAAAAAAGACAATAACTAACTAGCCTTTCAATCAATGTTTAGTTAGAGCTCTGAACTAATGTAAGATGGAAAACAATGGAATGACATTGACTATTGATTAAATAATTAATTTAAAATGTTGATAACTAGGCATAATGGGTAATGGGTCCACATCTCTCAGTAAATACGTAACAAGTATTCAGTCAAGCCACAGTATAAATAATACTTTATATTTGAAAAAGTAGAAAAGGAAACAGCCAAACTAATTGCCGTGGTTTACATGTAAACAATAGGTTACATGGCTTACAAGTCAGGTAAGAGGGACCTTAGCAGAATTTTGCTCAGGGCCACAGGGAGGTCAGGACCAACTTTGACTGCGAGAGACTGCCACTGTCTAGGTAATGAATTGGAAACACTGTGATGACACCATCATGTTAATGTTATCCATAAATAATCTGTTAATCATGTCGTGTCTGTCATATAGGCAAAGATAGGATACAACATAGAGATCAAAACAACAACTATACTGAGCAAATCTAACATCAGCTTCAATATTATTTTTTCAGATTCTATTACCTGTGTGTGGTGCCCTTCCGACTTCTGGTCAAATGAGAGAAGAGATGCCTGTGTAAAGAAGGAGGAAGAGTTTCTATCATATGAAGAGATTATGGGAGCACTGCTTACCGCAGCCTCTCTATTTGGAACATGTATGACTGCTGTTGTGGCGTTCATTTTCTTCAGATACAGACAGACTCCTATTGTCAGAGCCAACAACTCTGAGCTGAGCTTCCTGCTGCTCTTCTCCTTGACTCTGTGTTTCCTGTGTTCTCTGACCTTCATCGGCCGGCCCTCTGAGTGGTCCTGCATGCTGCGACACACCGCATTCGGCATCACCTTTGTCCTCTGTATCTCTTGTGTTCTGGGGAAAACAATAGTAGTCTTAATGGCCTTCAGGGCCACACTTCCAGGTAGTAATTGGATGAAATGGTTTGGGCCTGCACAGCAGAAACTAAGTGTTCTGGGTTTCACTCTTATACAAGTTATCATATGTATCCTCTGGTTAACAATTTCTCCTCCTTTTCCATTTAAGAATTTTAAGCAGTCCAAGAACAAAATCATCTTAGAGTGTGCTCTGGGCTCAGCTGTAGGCTTTTGGGCTGTACTTGGGTACATAGGACTTCTGGCCATATTATGTTTTATTCTTGCTTTTCTCGCTCGGAAACTGCCAGATAATTTCAATGAAGCCAAATTTATCACATTCAGCATGCTGATATTCTGTGCAGTGTGGATCACTTTTATCCCAGCGTATGTCAGCTCTCCTGGGAAGTTCAGTGTTGCTGTGGAGATATTTGCTATTCTGGCTTCAAGTTATGGACTGCTCATTTGTATTTTTATTCCAAAATGCTATGTTATCTTATTGAAACCAGAGAAGAATACGAAAAGGAATATGATGGGGAAGGGGGCACCAAAATGATCCTGAAAACTAAAAATAATATGGTGTAGTACTTTTATAAATTTTACAGAATGATTTTTAGCCAGCCTGTTAAGAAGACTTCCATCTTATTTTATTGAAGACTCTCATTGTACTACTGTAGTATTTTTCCAGTGTGTATTGTTTCATTTGTGATTTAGCATACTGAGATGACATTATTTGATACAATTTGATCACCAATATATTGAAGTATAAACATGTGCAAGTCTAATAACTTATTCCTTATTGATGTCACAACATTTAATATACAGTTGAGATGTGTGTGAGCGACGAATAAATTCCACAATTTTATAGACAACATGTTTGGCTTAACCTGTTTGGTTTCCTGTAGCTTGAGTTCAACAATGGAAACTTGCCACTTGTCACAGTTATTTCATTATATCGTTCAACAGCAAAGCATACATTTGTATGTTGCTGTTCCAGCCAACAACTTTACTGTTTTGATTCACTTTAACCACTCTCGGCCGCAACAGGCTGGATTTTACAGTGGCCTTGAGAACTGAACTCACCACAACTTAAGGAAACAAATGCAAATAGAAAACAAAAACACAAACAAATTAAGAAAACATTTTCACCAATTTGAAAACACATGGGAATAATCTAGAAGAAAAAAAAAAAAATTCCAACACCATTTACAGGTAGCCCACTTAAAAAAAGTCATGAGTCACAAAACAGTTTCTATTGTTATCTGTGCTATTTGCAATTTTTCTATATTTGGTTCTAAATGCTATGCAGATGTCAAACTGAAAGATTTTCTTAATTTGCTTATGTTTTGTCGTTTTGCCATTTCTTGATTTGGATTGCATTGGACTCTCTGGGCCACTGTAGTATTGAGCAAAGCCGCTGTATACTACCTGAACAGCAACAACTGACAGACAAAGTTAGCAACTACTTGGTGTATGTACATAGTATATGTTGTGTGTTGCATGTAACAGCTAAAGAGTTCGTTGGGACCCAAACAAAGCTAAAAGGAGAGTGAATACTGGAATACTGGACTGAATACTGGAATTTAATCAGGTGGACACAAACAAGACTCCAAATAAATGAGAGTTTTGCTCTGTGTCTGCTTGATATGTAAATTAGCTAACACATGTAATTGCTAACATAATAGCTATATTAACTATATAAACAAATAATATGTTTGAAACTTGTTGCACTGCCCCTACATGGCCTCAAAAATAAAACAAAATCACTTATTGCATAAAAAAACGTTAATATTTAATAAGGTAGGTGCTAGAATTTTCTAAAAATTATAGCACGTTCATTCTTCCTTATCATGAAATCAAAAGTCATTTGTGTGTCTGTATTGATAAAATATGAATTTAAAAAATAGAAACCATTTGTATTGTATAATGAATATTATCTGTACAGTTAAAACATTTAAATCTCTTGGTCTGTTTGGCCCCCGCTTTCATTCCACCCCACCTTGTAAATCCACAAAGATACAATATCACTCAGTTGATCTTATTGTTTTGTTTTTTTATCACTGCCCTAATATATAAATATCAGTGCAAGCTTTCAATTTGCATGGAGGTAGAGTTGGGGATAGTGGCTTAGTTCTCTGAGACAATATGACGACCATACAGAGGTGGCCAGAGAAGGGTTGGGCACTCTTACAGCTTTTCTTGGTGGTGTCTTTCACTAAGGCTGAAGAACTGGTGTGCAGGCAGAGAGGACAACCTGAGAACGCCCCGCTATTTAAAGATGGGGACATAATGTTGGGGGGAATTTTTGCTTTTCACAGCAGCTGGAAACCCAGACAGGATACCTACATGCACAGACCACTGCCACTGCAGTGCACCAGGTAAATTATGGCATTGTAATATTTGCAATATCCTAGAGGCAGTGGAAACAGATACAAAAATGTTACAAAAAGTTTACTAAACTGAGTACTACAACAAGAACTATTTGTTGTGTGTATTAATAACATCAAATGCTTTCTTTTATCTATATTTATGTTTCTATTTTAAGAGCAAATTGGTTGCAATTAAAAACAAAATCTAAAACTTTCTGCATAAAGTTTGAATTTCAGAGGTTTCCAGTATGCCCAGGCTATGCTCTTTGCCATAGAGGAGATTAATAACAGCACAGACCTACTGCCTGGCATCACTCTGGGCTACAAGATCTATGATGTCTGTGGCTCTATTGCCAGAGGTGTGAGGGTCGCACTGGCCTTGGCTAATGGTAATGAAGTTGTATCTGCACCCTCTGAGGCTCCATGTACCAGACCTGCCCAAGTACAGTCCATTATGGGAGAGAGTTCTTCTTCTCCCTCCATGGCTATAGCGACTGTCATTGGACCCTTTCATATCCCGATGGTGGGTAAGATTGTTAAAACTGAAATCATATTAGTGAACAAAATATATTATTATTTTCTATGTTTTATAATTGAAAGTATTGTAGTTTGCTTAGTGAATGTTTTGTGTTCTACAGCTTTAGCTTTGTAAATAATTTCTTATTTCTTTTAGATCAGCCACTTTGCTACTTGTGCTTGTCTCAGTGATAAAACCAAGTACCCATCCTTCCTCAGAACAATACCCAGTGACTACTACCAGAGCAGAGCCCTGGCCCAGTTGGTCAAGCACTTTGGTTGGACTTGGGTTGGAGCTATTAGAACAAATGATGATTATGGCAATAATGGTATGGCCACATTCACAGAAACCGCAAAGCAGCTGGGCATCTGTTTAGAGTACTCTGTATCTGTCTTCAGGACGGATCCACCAGATAAAATACAAAAGATAATTGACATTATCAAGGTTTCCACTTCCAAGGTGCTTATTGCATTCCTCTCCCACTTGGATATGGACATGGTAATACATGAGTTGTCTCACCACAACTTGACTGGGTACCAGTGGGTAGGCAGTGAGAGTTGGATCTCTGATTCCCAAACAGCAGCAGTGGATAGGCATCACATTCTGGATGGCGCCATAGGCCTGTCCATCCCAAAAGCACAAGTCAGTGGCATGTCAGAGTTCATGTTGGACATGAAACCACTGAATTCAACTAGTAATGAAATGTTCACAGAGTTTTGGGAGACATTATTTAGCTGCAAGTTCAAGCAGTCAAAGTCATCAGCAGAAAATCAGAGTGAATGTACTGGACATGAAGATCTGACTGGAGTGCAAAACAGCTTCACTGATATGTCGCTCATGCCAATTTTTTACAATATTTATAAAGGAGTGTATGCTGTGGCTCATGCACTTCATAGTATGCTCAGCTGTAATAAAACATGTAACACCAAGGGGCAGCTAGATCCATTTATGGTGAGTTGAACACCTAAGACTTTAATCACAGTTTTTACATTAAGTCCCATTTACAGACATTTTTTAAAATCTGTCACATTGTTGATGTTGTTGTTGATTGATGCATATCTTCTTAGATTTTACAGCACATCAGAAAGATTAAATTCAAAACAAAGGAAGGAGATGAGGTTTACTTTAATGAAAATGGAGACCCAGCAGCAAAGTATGAAATTATAAACTGGCAGCCAACAGAAAATGGCATTGTGGACTTTGTCACAGTTGGTCTTTATGATGCATCTTTACCTGCAGACAAACAGCTGAATCTGCAAAATAAGTCTTTAATTTGGGCACAGAACTCACAACAGGTTAGATACTATGTGATCACCGTATTTGTTAATAGAATTTCATTTGAACTGTTATACTTGTATAATTTTTTTTCTTTTGTTAGTGTAATGGTTGGTTTTATTGCATCACAATTAAAAATAGATACTTGCAAATGTCACTGACAAAGTGAACAGTCATACATTTTTGTTCATGCAGGTGCCTTCATCAGTTTGCAATGAGAAATGTCCTCCAGGAACTCGCAAGGTTCTCCAGAAAGGAAAACCTATCTGCTGCTATGACTGTTTAAGATGTGCAGAGGGAGAAATAAGCAACATTACAGGTGATATGAAAATCAGGACAAAAGCAATTCTAAATTGTGATGTTGACATAGTAGTCAGAGATGCTGGTGCTCTAGTGCAACATCTAGTGGAAAGTAAACTTCATTTAACCTTTACGAAATGGCATAGTTTTGTATCTAATTTTAAAAAAGCGGGATTATAGTACAGTAATTATGTAATATTTTAAGCAAACCAAAACACATATAATCAAATCAAAATAAACAGGCCTACATCAAAAGTCCTAAATAAATACTTATACATAAGTCTGAAATCAGCTATATAAACACCAACTTAAATCAGCTTAAACACACAGCATATCTAAACTGAAATCAACATGGTACAGAATGACATCGGCACCAACTGGTGTGTTCACTGCTGTACACTCTTGCTTTACTTGATCTCTTCTTGTAAAATATTGTATCTTCGCCAGAGAACTTTTCTCTGTTTTTTTCTCTGCAGAACTAGCATGACATCACTAGACCAAACAAGAGGGGCAGAGCGAGGGGAGATTCTCCACCAGTTAATTGATCGTGGATACTTGTACTGGGAGTGAAAGATGCTTTGCTGAAGCAATAGCACATAACACAATTTTAGAGACAAGTGTAAAAATACTTCTGGTTCATTACGGAAACGTGGTGGGGGACCATAGTCTCTAAGGTTGTCTATACCTGTTACAGATATGATCTGTCTTGTAAACAAAGAAAAGATGCAACATAGAGACAAAAAAGACAAATATAATGAGCATGTCTAAGACCTGCTTTTTCTTTTGTTTTTAGATTCTATCAGCTGCTTGCGATGTGACCTTGAGTTCTGGTCAAATGAGAGAAGAGATGCCTGTGTAAAGAAAGAGGAAGAGTTTCTATCATATGAGGAGATTATGGGAGCACTGCTCACGGCAGCCTCCCTTTTTGGAACATGCATGACAGCTGTTGTGGCATTCATTTTCTTCAGATATAGACAGACTCCTATTGTCAGAGCCAATAACTCTGAGCTGAGCTTCCTGCTACTCTTCTCATTGACTCTGTGTTTCCTGTGTTCTCTGACCTTCATCGGCCGGCCCTCTGAGTGGTCCTGCATGCTGCGACACACCGCATTTGGCATCACCTTTGTCCTCTGTATCTCTTGTGTTCTGGGGAAAACAATAGTGGTGTTAATGGCCTTCAGGGCCACACTTCCAGGCAGTAATTGGATGAAATGGTTTGGGCCTGCACAGCAGAGACTCAGTGTCCTGGGTTTCACTCTTATACAAGTTGTCATATGTATCCTCTGGTTATCAATTTCTCCTCCTTTTCCATTTAATAATTTTATGCAGTCCAAGGACAAAATCATCTTAGAGTGTGCTCTGGGCTCAGCTGTAGGCTTTTGGGCTGTACTTGGGTACATAGGACTTCTGGCCATGTTATGTTTTATTCTTGCTTTTCTGGCTCGGAAACTGCCTGATAATTTCAATGAAGCCAAATTTATCACCTTCAGCATGCTGATATTCTGTGCAGTGTGGATCACTTTTATCCCAGCGTATGTCAGCTCTCCTGGGAAGTTCAGTGTTGCTGTAGAGATATTTGCCATTCTGGCTTCAAGTTTTGGACTGCTCATTTGTATTTTTATTCCAAAATGTTATGTTATCTTAGTGAAACCAGAGAATAATACAAAAAGGAATATGATGGGGAAGGGGGCACCTAAAACATTCTGAAAACTTAAAATAACTTGGTGGCAAAGGGATCGTTAACCAGACTGTCAAGTGGACATCTATCTTCATTTTACTGAATACTTGCATTTTAATACTGTAGTATTTTGTTTATTTTGTGACATAGCATATTGGGATGACACTATTTAATACCATGTAATTTACAATAAAAGCAAATAATTGAGTAGAAAAAATGCACAACCCTAATAACTTTTTAATAACAATTAATACATAATACAAGATTGTGATCAAAGAATAAAATCTAGTTTCTAAGACAAATAATAATAATAATAATAATAAATAAATGTGGTTTAAGTTTTTTGGATTCCTCTGGCCTCTTATGGCTGGAGTTTAACAATCATAACTTCTCCCTTGTTGATGAACATATATAAAGCCCTGCCTTGACCTGCAGAGCTGATTGGCCCAACCTGAAGATCAGAGCAATGCCATTCTTGAGGCTGTTCCTATTGGTTGAGGTGGAATATTTAAAGGTAGCTGGATGAGTATGAAAAATGACTGGGAGCTGAACTGATTTGTTGGCTTCACTTTGTAAGAAGTAGCTAAAGATGTATTCTAGTTGGGCAAAGTAAAGTACATTTCACAAGGTTTGAATGTAGTTTAAAACTGGGTATGAATGAGTATATATGAGACAAATAGTTTACATGGCATATGGATGAGGTAGGAGGGCCCTTAGCAGAACTTTGCTCAGGGCCACAGTGAGTCAGGACCCACCTTGACTGTGACAGACTGCCTCAGTCTAGGTAATTCATTGGAAACACTGTGATGACACCATCATGTTAATATTATCCATAAATGATCTGTTAATCATGTTGTGTCTGTCTTGTAGGCAAAGAAAAGATGCAACATAGAGACCAAACTGACAACTATACTGAGCAAATCTAACACTAGCTTCAATATTATTTTTGCAGATTCTATCACCTGTGTGCGGTGCCATCCTGACTTTTGGTCAAATGAGAGAAGAAATGCCTATGTAAAGAAAGAGGAAGAGTTTCTATTATATGAAGAGATTATGGGAGCACTGCTCACTGCAGCCTCTCTATTTGGAACATGCATGACTGCTTTTGTGGCATTCATTTTCTTCAGATACAGGAAAACACCTATTGTCAGGGCCAACAACTCTGAGCTGAGCTTCCTGCTGCTCTTCTCCTTGACTCTGTGTTTCCTGTGCTCTTTGACCTTCATCTGCCAGCCCTCTGAGTGGTCCTGCACACACCACATTTGGCATCACCTTTGTCCTCTTTATCTCTTGTGTTCTGGGGAAATCAACAGTAGTGTTAATGGCCTTCAGTTCAGCTACACTTCCAGGTAATAATATGATGAAATGGTTTGGGCCGGTGCAGCAGACACTCAGTGTTCTGGGTTTCACTCTTATACAAGTTGTCATCCTCTGGTTAACAATTTCTCCTCCTATTCTATTTAAGTGTCTCCGTATTGACAAAATATTAATTTAAAAAAGGGAAACATTTTGTACAGTACAATGAATATTATCTGTACAGTTAAAACATTAAAAAGAGACTAAGGCCCAAATCTCTTGTTCTGTTTGGCCACCGCCCTCATTCCAGCCCAACTTGTAGATCCACAGAGATCTTATTGTTTTTTTGCTGCCCAAATATATAAATATCAGTGCAAGCTTTCAATTTACATGGCGGTAGAGTTGGGGATAGTGGTTTAGTTCTCTGAGACAATATGACGACCATACAGAGGTGGCCAGAGCAGGGATGGGCTCTCTTACAGCTTTTCTTGGTGGTGTCTTTCTCTCAGGATGAGAAGTCGGTGTGTAGGCAGAGAGGACGACCTGAGAACGCCCCGGTATTTAAAGATGGCGACATTATGTTGGGGGGAATTTTTGCTTTCCATAGCAGCTGGAAAGAGAATGAGGATACCTACACGCACAGACCACTGCCACTGCAATGCACCAGGTAAATTATGGCAAAGAAATCTTGTAATATCCAAGAGGAAGTGGAAACATACAAAACAGTTAAAAGAGTTTACTAAACTGAGTATTAAAATAAGAACTATTTGTTGTGTGTCTTAATAATATGCTTTCTTTTATCTATATTTATGTTTCTATTTTAAGAGCAAATTGGTTGCAATTAAAAACAAAATCTATAACTGTCTGTATCAAGTTTGAATTTCAGAGGTTTCCAGTTTGCCCAGGCTATGCTCTTTGCCATAGAAGAGATTAATAACAGCACAGACCTACTGCCTGATATTTCTCTGGGCTATGAGATCTATGATGTCTGTGGCTCCATTGCCAGAGGTGTGAGGGTCGCAATGGCTTTGGCTAACGGTAATGAAATTGCATCTGCACCCACTGAGGCAACATGTACCAAACTTTCCAAAGTGCAGGCCATTATGGGAGAGAGTTCTTCTTCTCCTTCCATGGCTATAGCTACTATCATTGGACCCTTTCATATCCCACTGGTGGGTAAGACTGGTAAAAATAAAAAATCATATTAGTGAACAAAATATATTATTATTTAATATGTTTTATATTTAAAAGTGTTGTAGTGTGCTGTGTGAGTGTTTTATGTTTTACATCTTTATCTTGGGATCTCATTTATTTTCTCTTTTAGATCAGCCACTTTGCTACTTGTGCTTGTCTCAGTGATAAAACCAAGTACCCATCCTTCCTCAGAACAATACCCAGTGACTACTACCAGAGCAGAGCCCTGGCCCAGTTGGTCAGGCACTTTGGTTGGACTTGGGTTGGAGCTATTAGAACAAATGATGATTATGGCAATAATGGTATGGCCACATTCACAGAAACCGCAAAGCATCTGGGCATCTGTTTAGAGTACTCTGTATCTGTCTTCAGGACGGATCCACCAGATAAAATACAAAAGATAATTGATATAATCAAAGCTTCCACTTCTAAGGTGATTGTCGCTTTCCTCAACCACATGGATATGGATGTACTAATACATGAGTTGTCCAAACACAACTTGACTGGGTACCAGTGGGTAGGCAGTGAGGGCTGGATCTCTGATTCCCAAACTGCAGCAATGGATAGACGTCACAATCTAGATGGTGCCATAGGCCTGTCCATCCCTAAAGCACAAGTCAGTGGCATGTCAGAGTTCATGTTGGACATGAAGCCACTGATTTCAACTGGTAATGAATTGTTTACAGAGTTTTGGGAGACATTATTTAGCTGCAAGTTTAAGCAGTCAAAGTCATCAACAGGGAATCAGAGTAAATGTACTGGATATGAAGATCTGATTGGAGTGCAAAACAGCTTCACGGATATGTCGCTCATGCCTGTCTTTTACAATATTTATAAAGGAGTGTATGCTGTGGCTCATGCACTTCATAACATGCTCAGCTGTAATGAAACATGTAACAACAAAGTGCGACTAGATCCATTCACGGTGAGTTGAACACCAAAGATGTAAATAGTCCCATTAACAAAGAAAATGGTTTATACTTAAAACATACTTTTTATCTGTCAAATTGTTGAGCCAGACAACGTCTTTGTCACATAATGATCTACATTGATGCATATCTAATTAGATTTTACAGCACATCAGAAAGATTAAATTCAAAACGAAGGAAGGAGATGAGGTTTACTTTAATGAGTATGGAGACCCAGCAGCAAAGTATGAAATTATAAACTGGCAGCCAACAGAAAATGGCATTGTGGACTTTGTCACAGTTGGTTTTCATGATGCATCTTTACCTGCAGACAAACAGCTTAATCTGCAGAATAAGTCTGTAATTTGGGCACAGAACTCACAACAGGTAAGCGTACATGTGATCACTGTATTTGTTAATGAAAGCTTATATATTTTATAAGTTTTTGCAAAGATCACTGACAAAATGAATGCCCGTATGATTTTGTTAATGCAGGTGCCAGTGTCACTTTGCAATGAGAAATGTCCTCCAGGAACTCGCAAAGTTCTCCAGAAAGGAACGCCTATCTGCTGCTATGACTGTTTAAGATGTGCAGAGGGAGAAATAAGCAACGTCACAGGTGATATGAAAATCAAGACAATAACAACTCTAAAGGTGTCAAGTGATGTTGACATAGTAGTTGGAGATGCTGGTGCTCTAGTGCAACATCTAGTGGAAAGTGAACTTCATTTAACCTTTATGAAACGGCCTAGTTTTGTATCTGATTTCAAAAACGCATGGATTATAATATAGTATTTATGTAGTGTTTTAGGCACCAAAATAAATATCATCAAAACAAAAAAAGAACAGGCCTACATTAATTATCCTAAATAAATACTAATATATAAGTCTGAAATCAGCTATATAAACATTATATCCTAGAAATCCAAATCAAGGTTAAATTCTAAAAAGTCAATGGTAGGGATGTTACAATTCCATAAATTTAGTAGTTGATACCAATACCAATGAAATTACATGATTCTCGATACACAATTCAATCCCACGGTCATAAATTCCATGTACTTCAACATATGCTCCTTTACTAAAAACATTACAAAAAAGTAAAACCAGCAGAATGTAGCCTTCGAGTAAAACAAAACAACTACAGCTTGCTTGTTTGATTCGTAAATCAACTTGAAGGCATAGCATATCTACACACTTGAAACGTAGTACAGAATCACATCGGCAACAACTGGTGTGTTCACTGCTGTTCACTCTTGCTTTAACTGATCCAGGGTGGTAAAATATCCACCGTATCTGCACCAGAGAACCTCTCACTGTTTGTTTCTCTACAGAGCTTACACTTTGTCACTAGACCGTACAGGAGGGGCAGAGTGAGGGGGGATTGTCCACTTTCAATTGAATTGAAGCAATAGCGCAAAACACAATGTTAGAAAGAAGTATAAAAATATTTTCTGTTCATTATGGAATTTTGGCGGGCCACCACAGTTGATAACGTTTTCTATAACTGTTCTTGATATGATCTCTCTTGTAGGCAGAGAAAACATGCATTATAGAGACAAAAAAAGACAAAATATAATTTTTCTGTTATTTTTAGATTCTATCACCTGCTTGCGATGTGACCCTGAGTTCTGGTCAAATGAGAGAAGAGATGCCTGTGTAAAGAAAGAGGAAGAGTTTCTATCATATGAAGAGATTATGGGAGCACTGCTCACTGCAGCCTCTCTATTTGGAACATGCATGACTGTTGTTGTGGCATTCATTTTCTTCAGATACAGACAGACTCCTATTGTCAGAGCCAATAACTCTGAGCTGAGCTTCCTGCTGCTATTCTCATTGACTCTGTGTTTCCTGTGCTCTCTGACCTTCATCAGCCGGCCCTCTGAGTGGTCCTGCATGCTGCGACACACCGCATTTGGCATCACCTTTGTCCTCTGTATCTCTTGTGTTTTGGGGAAAACAATAGTAGTGTTGATGGCCTTTAGAGCCACACTTCCAGGTAGTAATATGATGAAATGGTTTGGGCCTGCACAGCAGAGACTCAGTGTCCTGGGTTTCACTCTTATACAAGTTGTCATATGTATCCTCTGGTTATCAATTTCTCCTCCTTTTCCATTTAAGAATTTTACGCAGTCCAAGGACAAAATCATCTTAGAGTGTGCTCTGGGCTCAGCTGTAGGCTTTTGGGCTGTACTTGGGTACATCGGAGTTCTGGCCATATTATGTTTTATACTCGCCTTTCTGGCTCGGAAACTGCCTGATAATTTTAATGAAGCCAAATTCATCACCTTTAGCATGCTGATATTCTGTGCAGTGTGGCTCACTTTTATCCCAGCGTATGTCAGCTCTCCTGGGAAGTTCAGTGTTGCTGTAGAAATATTTGCTATTCTGGCTTCAAGTTTTGGACTGCTCATTTGTATTTTTATTCCAAAATGTTATGTTATCTTAGTAAAACCAGAGAATAATACAAAAAGGAATATGATGGGGAAAGGGGCACCTAAATCATTCTGAAAACCTAAAATAACTTGGTGGCAAAGGGATTGTTAACCAGACTGTCAAGCAGACATGTATTTTAATTTTATTGAATACTTGCTTTCTACTATTGTTGTATTTTTCCACAGTATATTGTTTAATTTGTGACGTTGCATATTGAGATGGCAGTGTAATGTACAATAAAAGCAACTAATTGAGATGAACAAATGCAGAAGCCTAATAGCTTTTTATAACATTTAACAATGGCGCGTCCTACGCGGAAGTCATTGAAAAGATAATCAGTGTGTATTCATTTAACCTTTCAGTGGTCATTATGTTATGGTAGATCAGTGTATACTAGGGATGTCCAATAATATCGGCCCTCCAATATTATTGGCCGATATTCTCTAAAAAATTTAATATCCGGAATTATCGGTATCGGGTTTTTATAACCGATGTTTGTTCTGTAGGCTTCAGCATTTCCGAGGCATCACAATAAAATTAGGCATAATGTGTTAATTCCACAATAGGAGATATGTTATGTTGTTACCTAACAGTTTTGGTGTAAAAAGCCTGCATATATCGGTATCGGAAATCGGCAGAAAAGTCAATAGCGAGCATCCCTAGTGTATACTCTAGTGAGGGAAACCTAATGAGACACAGGTGACAGCAATTGTGGCGGGGCAAACAATCAAAATTGGCGGGAAACACACAAGGGCAGGAAGTAAAGATCTGAAAGAAGAGGAGAGATAAGTAACAAAATAAAACAGGAAGCACATACATGAAAACATAACTTAACACTTTTGACCAGTTGTGGCATGGAGAGACAAACTCAGTGTGAAACTGCAAGCACTAGCATCAAACCCCTGTCAAAAAGTAAAGTAGGATTACTGCCCCACAGTTGTCTTCGTCCACCAATCAGTTAAGTTGCAGTTTACATCCATGTCTGTCCAGACTCATATAATGTCTGTTTATAATGAAGTGCAAATGTGTCACATTTCAGTTTATTTTTAACAACAATTTATGGTTCAATATATCAAAAGCTGAACTAATATAACTGCTCCCACTGAGTTATTATTGTCCATATACACCGATCAGCCATAACATTATGACCATTATGGGCCTCCTGGTGGTCATAATGTTATGCAGCCCCATATGCAGCAAACTGTGATGCACTTTGTGTTCTGACACCTTTCTATCAGATCCAGCATTAACTTTTTCAGCAATTTGAGTCACAGTAGGTTGTCTGTTGGATTGGACCACACAGTCAGTGAGCCTTAGCTGCCCATGACCATGTTGCTGGTTCACAGCTTTTCCTTCCTTGGACCACTTTTGATAGGTACTGACCACTGCAGACCGGGAACACCACACAAAAGCTACAGTATTGGAGATCCTCTCACCTAGTTGTCTAGCCATCACAATTTGGCTCTTGTCAAAGTTGCCCAAATCCTCACACTGTCCATTTCATCACCTTTGAGGACAAAATGTACAGTTGCTGCCTAATATATCCCACCCACAGGTGTTGTGATAACAAGATAATCAGTGTCATTCACTTCACCAGTCAGTGGTCATAATCTTATGGCTGATCAGTGTAATCTAGGCATTCATCTGTCATCTTATTGCATATCAATGCTGTTCCAGTTGATTGTCCTTGGCAATAAGAATGATGAAGAGGATTAAGCTTAAGATAGGAACCCACTATTTTCTACACTGGTGTTAAAGATGTGGCAACACATCCGGCTAAACAGCTTGCCACCAATTTCAAAAGAGTTCCATCTAAATGATCCATCCCCCTTGATTTATTAATATTTATATTCAATAATTGTTGTTCCACTTCCACTACTATTTCATATTTCATTTAATTTAAATTTCAATGAAGAACTGTCTGTCATGAGTTTTTGTAATAATGTTGTTGTGATTCTGTACTCATGGGAAATGATTCAAAGATGGCATTTCCGATATTGATCAAAATGTGCTATTTCTTGTAGTCTTATTAGAAATGAGTCACCTGTATCAATAAAAGCTGGGGGTTGGCTTTTCTTCCTATTTTTTCAAATAGGGTACAGTACCTGCCTCCCCTCGCCCCACCTTGTAGGTCCACAGAGATCAAACATCACTGTTTTATCATTGTGTATGCTTTTCCAAAATGTATATATCCTGGTGCAAGCTGTTGATTTACATCAGGGTAGAGTTAGGGGTTTGGTTGGTGGTTAGTTCTCTCAGACAGTATGACGTCCACACAGAGGTGGCCAGAGCAGGGTTGGGTACTCTTACAACTATTGTTGGTGGCGTCGTTCTCTCAGGCTGAGGAGCCGGTGTGTAGGTGGAGAGGGGATCCTGAGAACCCCCAGCTATCCAAGGATGGGGACATTATCTTGGGGGGGCTCTTCTCTTTCCATAGCACGTGGATAAACAGACAGGATAACTACATGCACAAACCACCTCCACTGGAATGCACCAGGTAAATTATACAGTAACATCTATTTCTATTAAAATATCTAAAGAGAAATGAGTAGAGATAAAAACAGGTCCAAAAAAGGTTATCAAACAGAATATTAAAATAAGAAATACTCAGTTGTGTGTATTAATACCATAAAATGATTTTATTTACAATGTAATTTTTCCTATTTCAAGGTTAAAATTGGTTGCATCTCTAACTATTTAAAAATATCCACATAAAGTTTGCATTTCAGAGAGTTCCAGTTTGCCCAGGCTATGCTCTTTGCCATAGAGGAGATTAATAACAACACAGACCTACTGCCTGGCATCTCTCTGGGCTACAAGATCTATGATGTCTGTGGCTCCATTGCCAGAGGTGTGAGGGTCACACTGGCCTTGGCTTCTGGTAATGAAGTGGTATTTGCACCCTCCGAGGCACCATGTAATGGACCTGCCCATGTGCAGGCAATTATGGGAGAAACCTCTTCTTCTCCTTCCATGGCTATATCTACTGTTATTGGACCCTTTCATATTCCAATGGTAGGTAAGATTGGTGAAAATGAAAAAAATAATATTTGTGAAAAATATAATTGTTGTTCTGTAATTTTTCCACCTTGTTATAATAGCAAAATGGCATTTGAAAAATTAGTAGTGTGTTGTTTAAATGTTTTAAATTTTACATCTTTATCTTGGGATATCATTTCTTTTTTCTTTTAGATCAGCCACTTTGCTACTTGTGCTTGTCTCAGTGATAAAACCAAGTACCCATCCTTCCTCAGAACAATACCCAGTGACTTATACCAGAGCAGAGCCCTGGCTCAGTTGGTCCAGCACTTCGGTTGGACTTGGGTTGGAGCTATAAGAACAAATGATGATTATGGCAATAACGGCATGGCCATATTCATAGAAACTGCCCAGCAGCTGGGCATTTGTCTAGAATACTCTGTATCTGTCTTTAGAACAGATCCACCAGACAAAATACAAAAGGTAATTGACATTATCAAAGCCTCCACTTCGAAGGTGATTGTCGCTTTCCTCTCCCACTTGGATATGGACATGGTAATACATGAGTTGTCTCAACACAACATGACTGGGTATCAGTGGGTAGGCAGTGAGAGCTGGATTTTTGATTCCCAAACTGCAGCCATGGATAGGCATCACATTATGGATGGCGCCATAGGCCTGTCCATCCCTAAAGCACATGTCAGTGGCATGAGAGAGTTCATGTTGGATGTGAAGCCGCTCAATTCATCAAGTAATGAATTATTCACAGAGTTTTGGGAGACATTATTTAACTGCAAGTTCAAGCAGTCAAAGTCATCAACAGGGAATCAGAGAGAATGTACTGGAGATGAAGATCTGACTGGAGTGCAAAACAGCTTTACTGATATGTCGCTCATGCCTATCTTTAACAATGTCTATAAAGGAGTGTATGCTGTGGCTCACGCACTTCATAATATTCTCAACTGTAATGAAACATGTAACAACACAGTGCAGCTAGATCCCTTCACGGTGAGTTGAACACCAACAACTTATATTACAGTTGTTTACATTAAGTCACAGCAACGAAGAAAATGTATTACATTTTTAAAAGTACATGATCAGATCTACAACATGTTTGTCAGATAATGATCTACATTAATGTATATCTTCTTAGATTTTACAGCACATAAAAAAGGTTCAGTTCAAAACGAAGGATGGGGATGAGGTTTACTTTAATGAGTTTGGAGACCCATCAGCAAAGTATGAAATTATAAACTGGCAGCCAACAGAAAATGGTATTGTGGACTTTGTCACTGTTGGTTTTCATGATGCATCTTTACCTGCAGACAAACAACTTAATCTGGAAAATAAGTCTTTAGTTTGGGCACAAAACTCACAAAAGGTAAGATATAATTGTTAAGGATAGTCTATTTGAATTGTTTTTGTTATATATGTTATTAGTTCATACTGCATCATGTTTCGATAAATCATAATTAACAGATGCTTGCAAAGACATTGTCTGTATATTTTGTTCATGCAGGTGCCAGTGTCAGTTTGCAGTGAGAAATGTCCTCCAGGAACTCGCAAAGTTCTCCAGAAAGGAAAGCCTATCTGCTGCTACGACTGTTTAAGATGTGCAGAGGGAGAAATCAGCAACATTACAGGTGTAGTAATATTTAATGCAGTACAAAACAAAATTCTAAAAGTTGTTATAATTAAATTTATTTTGTTCCCTTTTTAAAAAAAAAAATGCCATGGCTTTGTAATCTGATTCTATAAGCATCGGGGTGTTGCTTTATAGTATTTATGTTGTTTTTTAAGCAACCCCAAAACCAACATAAATAAAAAATCAATGCATTCAAATATTCTAAGCATATGCTGATATTGACATCTCAAGTCAGCTGCTTAAATGTATGCACACATCCTTGGAATTGTATATCAAGTTTAAAATCTCAATATGAAATACGTAAGTCAAGTGTATTTAAAACAACAAGGAAATCTTTCTGGGAAGATGTAGGCAGTTTGTGTTGTTTTCAACCCATTCAGCATATATTTTCACCAACAGTTTATTATTTGGTACAACCACTATGAGTCACATGGCCAGAAATAACTAATCATGAAGTACTTTCTTTAAATTAAATATGGCAAGAAAGATTTAAAATGGTCATTAAATTAAGTTAAGAGAGTGAATAAAATTGTGTTAACATACACATAACATGGTACATAACATGTGTTAATCATGTTGTGAATGTGTTATAGGCAAAGAAACAATACAACATTTAGACAAAAAAAGATAAATGTAGTTGACAAGTCTAACACCTGCTTCAACATTGTATTTCAGATTCTATCACCTGTGTGAGATGTGACCCTGAGTTCTGGTCAAATGAGAGAAGAGATGCCTGTGTAAAGAAGGTGGCAGAGTTTCTATCATATGAAGAGATTATGGGAGCACTGCTTACTGCAGCATCTCTATTTGGAACATGCATGACTGTTGTTGTGGCATTCATTTTCTTCAGATACAGACAGACTCCTATTGTCAGAGCCAACAACTCTGAGCTGAGCTTCCTGCTGCTCTTCTCATTGACTCTGTGTTTCCTGTGCTCTCTGACCTTCATCGGCCGGCCCTCTGAATGGTCCTGCATGCTGCGACACACCGCATTCGGCATCACCTTTGTCCTCTGTATCTCTTGTGTTCTGGGGAAAACAATAGTGGTGTTAATGGCCTTCAGGGCCACACTTCCAGATAATAATATGATGAAATGGTTTGGGCCTGCACAGCAGAAACTCAGTGTCCTGGGTTTCACTCTTATACAAGTTATCATATGTATCCTCTGGTTAACAATTTCTCCTCCTTTTCCATTTAAGAATTTTAAGGAGTCTAAGGACAAAATCATCTTAGAGTGTGCTCTGGGGTCAGCTGTAGGCTTTTGGGCTGTACTTGGCTACATAGGACTTCTGGCCATGTTATGTTTTATTCTTGCTTTTCTGGCTCGGAAACTGCCTGATAATTTCAATGAAGCCAAATTTATCACCTTCAGCATGTTGATATTCTGTGCAGTGTGGATCACTTTTATCCCAGCGTATGTCAGCTCTCCTGGGAAGTTCAGTGTTGCTGTAGAGATATTTGCTATTCTGGCTTCAAGTTTTGGACTGCTCGTTTGTATTTTTATTCCAAAATGTTACATTATCTTACTAAAACCAGAGAAGAACACAAAAAAGAATATGATGGCAAAGGGCACACCAAAATCATTCTGAAAAACCTAAAATGATATGATGGCTAAAGCATTCTTGTGCCATCATACATTTTACAGACTAATTGTTTTAACCTGACTGTGAAGTAGACATCAGTCTTCATTTTATTGAAGATTGAACATTGTACTACCGTAGTATTTTTCCACTGTATATCATGTCTTTTGTGATATTGCGATGACATCTTTTAATACAATGTTATATACAACCATATAAACCAATACACTGTATATATATATAATTAAGTACAAATACATGCACAAGCCCAATAGATAATTTCTTATTAATGTCACAACATTTAATACAATTTATAAAATTGTGATCAAAGAATACAATCTGTAGGTTTTACCCACAATAAACATCATTTGATTTGCTGATGCTGGAGTTCAACCATGACAACTTCCCCTTGTACTGGATTATAGAGCAGAGCACAGGTGTGCCATATGTTGACTCTTCTCGTCTTGGTTCTGCTTATGGTGAAGGGAAACTGTGTGCTGAGTGCAATGCTCACAAGTCACAATGCTTCACAAGAGAGTCGAGGTTTTGCCAATGTTTTCTGCAAGCCACACGGTTCCCAGCAGAAATAAACAGTGAAAATGGTCTGTTCATAGTCATATCAACCTTACAGCAGCTCCATACGCCTTTCACTGTTATTTCAATGTCTGTGTCTGTTAAATATGTCACAGACATGGAAAAAATATAAATGTATTTTCTAAACTCAACACCTCCTGTATCTGTTTCAGATTAAAAGCTTTCTGGCATTTCTGTGGACAGAATCCATTCATATGTTTAAAAGGCTTTTATTATATATAAAAGGCAAACTCTGTATAGAAAGATAAGGCTGGCAACAGCAGCTCTGCAGCAGCCATGCAGCTCACACGCTGTCAGTGTAAACACCAATTGCATTCAGCGCAGCAGCCGTCATGCGCTGCTCAGGTAGGTCGTGTGAAACCAAGTGTCAGCACAATCAGCCGAACTGGCCCAAGGTGGCAACCTTGTTATTGGAGGGATCTTAGCATTTTACATGGGCCAGGAATATGTAATTAGCCCACTTCAGACACTTCAAGAGGGAAATTTCAGAAGTATGAAAATGCACAGTATAAACGGTCCGTTTGTATTTTGTACTGTATTTTAGAAATTAACATAAAGAGATATTGTTTATTTAAGTCTGTCACCAACCCAGCTAGTTTCTGTTGTCCAGTTGTGGTTTTACAGCCCCCAATTTACATGTTCTGGTTCAGTTTCACCACTCTCAGCTGCAACATGCTCTATACCACTGTGGCCCTGAGAGCTCAATGCTACAACTTAAAATGGAAACAAAGGCCAATACAGAAAATATAAGAAAATACAGAAGTACAGAAATACAGTCAATCATGTAAACAAGGAAAAAAGAAAGTGATGCACAATCTGACACAACTGGGACACGCTTGTTGTCCCACCCAAAAAAATATTTTAGCTGATTTTCCAACACTACGAATGGATAGTTAACTTCTATAACTTCATGAGTTGAAAGAAATGGCAATATTAAGCGTGTCATACTGCTGCTATGCATCACAGCTGAAGACTGACAGGAAAGGGGGGAAAAGAGAGACTCCAAATGAATACTGTTTTTGCTCCGTCTGTTATATGTGTACATATTCTAACATGTAATTGATAACATGATAGCAATATCAAGTGCACAGCTTGCTAAACTGCACAAGAAAAAAATCAAATCAAATCAAATAAAAACAGCTTTTTAACAAGATTTTGGGGCCAAATAGAGCCAAATCAGTCTAATATTCTCAACTTTATCATCTCCATTTTTCTAGTATTATGAATTAAAGTATACATTCAGCATCTGTGATGTTCAGTATTAACATGGGAAACAGAAACATTTTGTGCAGCACAAATGAATACCATCGGAAAGCATATGCAGTTAAGATAAGATATAATATTTAGATCTAAAAAAAGTTATAGTGCAGAACTTGTTTTCTTTTTGGCCACCCCAAACTTTTTTTTTTGTTTTGACACCTCCATCCTCTTGCCCTGCCTTGTTGGCCCACAGAGATGAAACATCACTGTTGCATTTTTTTTCATGCTTCTGCAAAATGTATAAAGAGCAGTGCAAAAGTTTAATTTACATTAAGGTACATGGGATGCCACCCAGTGGTTTAGATCTTTTTTGATATGACATCCACACAGAGGTGGCCAGAGCAGGGTTGGGCACTCTTACAGATTTTGTTGGTGGTATCTTTCTCTCAGGCTGAGGAGCCGGTGTGCAGGCGGAGAGGGGATCCTGAGAACCCTCAGCTCTTTAAGGATGGAGACATTATGCTGGGGGGGATCTTCTCTTTCCACAGCAGCTGGAAAGACAGAGAAGATACCTATATGCACAAACCATTGCTACTACAGTGCACCAGGTAAATTATACTGTAGAAATCTAAATGAATTACAAATATTTAAGAGGAAGTTAAGATATATACAAAACAGGTTGTTGTGTCTATGAATTCCATCAAATGCTTTCATTCACTATGTTTCTGTTTCAAGGACAAATTGTTTAAAATTACAACTATTTATAACTCTCTGCATCAAGTTTGAATTTCAGAGGTTTCCAGTTTGCCCAGGCTATGCTCTTTGCCATAGAGGAGATTAATAACAGCACAGACCTACTGCCTGGCATCACTCTGGGTTATAAGATGTATGATGCCTGTGGCTCTATTGCCACAGGTGTGAGGGTCGCACTGGCCTTGGCTAATGGTAATGAAGTGGTATCTGGACCCTCTGAGGCTCCATGTACCAGACCTGCACAAGTGCAAGCCATTATGGGAGAGACCTCTTCCTCTCCTTGCATGGCTATAGCTACTGTCATCGGACCCTTTCATATCCCACTGGTGGGTAAGATTTGTGAAAATGAATGAATGAAAAATGAATGATTCAATTCTTCTGTAATTCTTCCAGTGGGTCATACCAGAGGGGGATTTAAAAAATTTTAATGTGCTGTGTTAATGTTTTATATTTTGCATTATTATATTTTTTGGAAATTATTTATTTTTTCTTTTAGGTCAGCCACTTTGCAACTTGTGCTTGTCTCAGTGATAAAACCAAGTACCCATCCTTCCTCAGAACAATACCCAGTGACTTATACCAGAGCAGAGCCCTGGCCCATTTGGTAAAGCACTTTGGTTGGACTTGGGTTGGAGCTATTAGAACAAATGATGATTATGGCAATAATGGCATGGCCACATTCACGGAAACTGCTCAGCAGCTGGGCATCTGTCTGGAGTACTCCATATCTTTCTTTAGAACAGATCCACCAGATAAAATACAAAAGATGGTTGACATTATCAAGGCTTCCACTTCAAAGGTGATTGTTGCTTTCCTGTCACACATGGATATGGATGTGCTAATACACGAGCTGTCACAACACAACCTGACTGGATATCAGTGGGTAGGCAGTGAGGGCTGGATCTTTGATTCCCAAACTGCAGAAATGGATAGGCATCACATTCTGGATGGTGCCATAGGCCTGTCCATCCCCAAAGCACATGTCAGTGGAATGAGAGAGTTCATGTTGAATGTGAAGCCACTCAATTCAACAAGTAAGGAATTGTTTACAGAGTTTTGGGAGACATTATTTAGCTGTAAGTTCAAGCAGTCAAAGTCATCAACAGGGAATCAGAGAAAATGTACTGGACATGAAGATGTGAGTGGAGTGCAAAACAGCTACACTGATATGTCGCTCATGCCTATATTTAACAATGTCTATAAAGGAGTGTATGCTGTGGCTCACGCACTTCATAATATTCTCAACTGTAATGAAACATGTAACAACACAGTGCAGCTAGATCCATTTACGGTGAGTTGAACACCAAATACTTTTTTTTTTAATTTTGAAAAACAAATTGTTCAGATGTTGAGACAATGGAGATACAAACTTGTCGATAATGATCCACATTGATATATATCTTCTTAGATTCTAGAGCACATAAAAAAGATTCAATTCAAAACGAAGGAAGGAGATGAGGTTTACTTTAATGAGTATGGAGACCCAGCAGCAAAGTATGAAATTATAAACTGGCAGCCAACAGAAAATGGCATTGTGGACTTTGTTACAGTTGGTCTTCATGATGCATCTTTACCTGTAGACAAACAGCTTAATCTCCAAAATAAGTCTTTAATTTGGGCACAGAACTCACAACAGGTAAGCTATTAATGTCAATGAAAGTCTATGGGTTGTTGTTATTAGTTATTGTTACTGAATCAAAATGGTTTGTGTTAATACATCAAAGATAATAATAGATCTTTGTAAAGACAAGATCTTGTCAAACTGAATGCCCTTACATTTTCCTCATAGTAATTTTGTTCATGCAGGTGCCTTTGTCAGTTTGCAGTGAGAAATGTCCTCCAGGAACTCGCAAAGTTCTCCAGAAAGGAAAGCCTGTCTGCTGCTATGACTGTTTAAGATGTGCAGAGGGAGAAATAAGCAACATCACAGGTGTAGTATATTTAATGCAAGACGAAACAAAAATGTGAAAGCAGTTTTAAAAAGAAGTAAAAAAGTTCAAATGCCAGTTTTAAGAAATGGCGTTTTATAATCAGTTCAAAACCCATGGGGAAATTTCTGCAGAGATTATCAAGTAGTTATGTAGTCTATTAAGAACCAAATGATCCTAAACAAATTCTGATTCATACGTCTGAAATCAGCTTATGAATGCATGCACAATACTGGAATTGCATACTGAGGTCAAAGGCCAAATGTATAAACATGTATATAACTCAGGTTCATTTAAAATTATTCCAATGTCATTGTCTATATAAAAATTTGACAAACCCCTATTATACCCCTGTCTTAAAGATCAGCTGTCCATGTGAGTAGAGCAGAGGAGCAGGATCACTTGTTGATGTGGAGAAATGCACTTCAGACATTAACCACCAGGCTTTTACTGCAAGCTTAGTATTTGCAGTATGCTGCAGTAACAGCAATTAACCACAACTTTACCATGTGATATTCTAGGTGGACAGAACAGTGACCTCTGGTCTTAGCCTACCGCAGTCACCTGCTGTTCTATTCACCTGGATGATGTAGCGCCCCATTAGCTCAATGGCACTATTGGGAACATCTGTTGGCCTATAAAAGTCATGATATTGTAGTCCATAATACTTTTAAGCGATAATCCACATCAGCAGCTATACCATTCTGTTCTCCAGAGACCATACATTGGCAAAGAAACTGATAGGTAGAGATTGTTGATAAGAAGTTAGTTTTAGCTTAACCCTTAGCCCTCATCTCTTCCCCCTTTGTTTATGTTGTCACCATATGAGCTGGTTTGGTATCCTCTTATGATATGTAAGTAAGACTTCTCAGTGAACAGACTTGAAACAAATTGTGAGTTGGGAACCAAAAATCCAAATCCAATATGGTTCCAAATTAAATCCAAATTCAAAATGCCAACAAGACCATCAACAATTGACTGTGTTGAGACTGCAGACCACTAAAAAGCAGGGTGTGTTCACAGTGATTAGCTCAGTAAATACCTACACAGTAGCTGGTAATGTGTAGTTAGATAATCTAGTTAGCTATCGGGGGACATTGTGAACTGCCCAGATATCGCGACCAGGCTAAAACCTGGTAGCTCTGGCAACAAAGGAGAAAAACGATTTCACATCGGTCTGCCACTGTCAGTGGTGACAACTATAGGAGTTATGGCCAGTCAAAGGTATATCATTCAGTCAAAAGTACTATAGGAATTAAAGACGGGGTCTCTGATTAGATGATGGTTGACTTTATGTCAGCATTGGCCTTGCAATGTTCAGGATCATTTAAAACATTAGATGGAGTGTTGAGCCACTGTCAACCAATTAAATTCCATTTTTTATAAATCTGGTAAGAAATTTCAATATAAATACCAGCATTTTTGTGTTTCATCACATTACAGTCCTAAAATGTAGTTTCCAGTTCCAAAAAAAAGTGAAGTACCTGTTTAAATCAATGATATCTATCTTTAATTGCCATTTTATAGCTATCTATCAGCTCACTCAAATTAAAGGAAGACCTACACTATTTTCTTACCTCCTCCCAGTGGTGTATGAGAGTGCACATACTTTTGGTCATATCTGCAACATGTGACTCCTGAAACTGAGAGTGTGAAAAGCACCCACTTCCACTTATGCAGTTTTAATAGATGTAACTGATAATTGAGGTCATATTTGAGTTTGGGTCTTAATGTAAAGTATCACACACTATCAGGGTGTAGGGGCAGTAATTTTGAAGGAGACCGACACAAATGTTGTAGACAGATTTCTTCATGTGCTCTTTTTATTTTAGTTAAAATAAAATTATTTTCCCCATATGACATTTCTCACATAACTAATGCTACTGCTTTTTTGCTATGATGGTTGTTTATTACAGTAGGTTAACCTTGTGATCCTCAGGGCCCCCAGTTGGTAGTCCTAGTATATATGTTGGTAGGATGAGTGTTAAGAAATAAAACAAATTCATTCAGTGTGTAACATTTACAAGTGTTTAACCCCCCATGATTCTACTGTACCTTAGAATGGACAAAACAAACACTCAGTCAGGTGGTTGCAATCTCAGACTTCACTACTAGATGCCACTAAATCCTACAGACTGTCATTTAACAAAATAATAAATATCTTTATATATATCTTACGGAAGCGTATTGCATTCACTTGAAAATTTATTTTTTGGTTTGTTTTTCTGAGTAATTTATTTTTTTATGTTTTTCTGACTTTTTTTTTTCTTTATTGAGAGCTCAATTTAACTGAAACAAACATAACCGTCTTGTTTAGTTCAATCAAGTTATACTTTGATCTGGGTTTAAGACACTGGGAGCTAGTCCTGTCTTTAAGTCATATAAATGGTATTATCATTAGTTTGTCGACTCTACGCAGGCACCTGAGGACTTGCGGTTGTCAGAAGGAAAGTCCATTCAGATCTGCTAGACATAGCAATATATACATAGCAAAATTGACCCGGTACAGTAGATAGTTGAAGATAGAGCATATATGTGCGGGCAGGAGTCAACATAGGTCCATGGGAGTCACTTGCAGGTTGGAGGTTCTCGCGGGAGTTCAAAGTATCTCGATAATTCAGGAAAAAAATTACTAAAAACAGGAAAATATAATAAAAAAAAAACAAACAAAAAAATAAATTACTCAGAAAAAAATGAGTTTTTTTTATTTTTTTTTTTTTTCAAGTGAATGCAATACGTTTCCATAATATCTAACCATGTCATGCGGTTATGCATTTGATATCAGGTAATCATGTAGTTAGATGCAACAGACAAAAAAAGACAAATATAATGTACAAGTCTAACACCTGCTTTAATATTATTTTTCAGATTCTATCACCTGTGTGAGATGCGAACCTGAGTTCTGGTCAAATGAGAGAAGAGATGCCTGTGTGAAGAAGGAGGCAGAGTTTCTATCATATGAAGAGATTATGGGAGCACTGCTTACTGCAGCCTCTTTATTTGGAACATGCATGACAGCTGCTGTGGCATTCATTTTCTTCAGATACAGACAGACTCCTATTGTCAGAGCCAACAACTCTGAGCTAAGCTTCCTGCTGCTCTTCTCATTGACTCTGTGTTTCCTGTGTTCTCTGACCTTCATCGGTCGGCCCTCTGAGTGGTCCTGCATGCTGCGACACACCGCATTCGGCATCACCTTTGTCCTCTGTATCTCTTGTGTTCTGGGGAAAACAATAGTGGTGTTAATGGCCTTCAGGGCCACACTTCCAGGTAGTAATATGATGAAATGGTTTGGGCCTGTGCAGCAGAAACTCAGCGTTCTGGGTTTCACTCTCATACAAGTTATCATATGTATTCTCTGGTTATCAATTTCTCCTCCTTTTCCCTTTAAGAATTTTAAGGAGTTTAAGGACAAAATCATCTTAGAGTGTGCTCTGGGCTCACCTGTAGGCTTTTGGGCTGTACTTGGCTACATAGGACTTCTGGCTATGTTATGTTTTATTCTTGCTTTTCTGGCTCGGAAACTGCCTGATAATTTCAATGAGGCCAAATTTATCACCTTCAGCATGCTGATATTCTGTGCAGTGTGGATCACTTTTATCCCAGCATATGTCAGCTCTCCTGGGAAGTTCAGTGTTGCTGTGGAGATATTTGCTATTCTGGCTTCAAGTTTTGGTCTGCTCATTTGTATTTTTATTCCAAAATGTTATATTATCTTACTGAAACCAGAGAAGAACACAAAAAAGAATATGATGGGGAAGGGGGTACCAAAATCATCCTGAAAACTTCAGGGTGGCAAAGACATGCTGTTTTAATTTTTACACAATAATTTGCCTTGTATTATGGTAGTATTTTTCAACCATATAATATTTCATTTGTTGCTATCTATCTATCTATCTATCTATATATATATATATATATATATATATATATATATATATATATATATATATATATACATATATATATATATATATAGACAGAAAGAAGAAAGAATAAAATCCACAGTTTCAAAGACGAAAACATCTGCTATTGAACTTGTTTGGTTTTGTCTGGTCTCTTGAGACTTGAGTTTAACCATGACATCTCCCCCCTTGTTGTTGAACGTGTATAAAGCCTCGCCATGAAATGTAGAGCTGTTTGGCCTGGCCTGTAGAGCAGAGCTATGTCATTGTTGAGGCTGCTCCTGTTGGTTCTGCTAATGGGGAAGGGAGACTCTGTATGTCGTCTGCAAGGCTCACCACAACCAGCTGAACTGGCCCAAGATGGTGACCTTCTTATTGGAGGCATCTTTTCTTTTCGCACAGGGCAGGATTATGTAGCTAATACATTTCAGACAATTCCAGAAGTACGAAAATGCAACAAGTATGTAGTGATAGGTCTATATATTTTAAATGGCTTATGTGTTTGTACTGCATTTGAGACAGTAACATAAATATAATATTATTTCATTCTGTCTTTCACCACCACAGCTTCAATTATAGAGAATTTAAATTTGCTCAAGCAATGATATTTGCTATAAATGAGATCAACAAAAATCCTGATATGCTCCCTAATGTTAAACTTGGCTACAAGATCTATGATAACTGTGGAACAATGGACATACTGAGAGCTGCATTGGCAATGGTAAGTGGACTAAAGGGACACGTCAGTGACAACAACTGCACTAAAACTGGGACAGTGCAAGCTATCTTGGGACATTCAGGATCAAGACCAACTATCGCATTTGCACAAGTTGTTGGAAGGTTTCAGATACCTGTGGTAAGTTAGAGAAGAAAGGTCATTTAATTTAAACATTGTGTAAAGTGTGCTGACATATTTATACTTGACAGTCACAGTTAAAAACAATACAAATGAGCAGTAACAGTTGCAACAAATGTATAACTGTAGTATAAATGTAAATAGTGATTATGCAAGAATGTTATTATGTGTTCTTTCACTGCCACTAAAATGTTTGCATCTTACACTGCAGATCAGCCATTTTGCCACATGTGCCTGTCTGAGCGACAGGAAAGAGTATCCCACTTTTTTCAGAACTATTCCCAGTGACTACTACCAGAGCAGAGCACTGGCAAAGCTGGTCAAGCACTTCGGTTGGACCTGGATTGGGGCTTTAGCTGTGGATAACGAATATGGCCTCAATGGCATAGCTGCGTTTATCCAAGCAGCACAAGAATATGGAGTCTGCATTGAGTATTTTGAAGCATTTTCATCATCGGATCCACCTCATAGCCTGCAGAGAATAATAGAGATTATTAAACGTGGCACTTCCAAAGTGATTATGGCTTTTATGTCTCACAGAGAAATCAAATTGCTGGCAAATGAGCTGTACAAACAGAACATTACAGGACTGCAGTGGGTTGGCAGTGATGCCTGGATCACAGATCACTCTCTGACTGACAGTGAGGGACACATCATCCTGGTGGGCTCCCTGGGCTTCACTGTCAGCAAAGCCAAAATGCCAGGGCTGGAGGAGCACCTGAGGCAGCTCCATCCCTCACAATTTCCTGACAGTCGGTTTGTAAGAGATTTCTGGGAAGACATGTTTGACTGCTCTCTGAATGACACTGCAAACACACAAAGAAAGCCATGCAGCGCCTCTGAGAGCTTGCAGAATGATAAATCACAGTTTACTGATGTGGCTGAGCTGAGATTCACTAATAACGTTTACAAGTCGGTTTACGCAGTGGCTCATGCTCTTGACAACCTGATTAAATGTGAGGAGGGTAAAGGGCTCTTTTCAAATGGGAGCTGTGCTGATACCAAACACATTCAACCATGGCAGGTGAGGAGCCAGTTAAGTGTGACACAGTGATAACTGCAATAACAATTATAATTTAATGTAATTTAATCCTGGTATAATTCCTTTAGGTCTTGCGCTATCTTAACACTGTGAATTTTACCACCAAGGAAGGGGAAAAAGTTTATTTTGACAGTAATGGCGACTCACCAGCAAGATATGAACTTGTTAATTTACAAATAACAAACAAAGGAACCATGGAAGGAGCAACAGTTGGCATTTATGATGCTTCTCTTCCAGAGAGTCATCAGTTTATCATGAATAACATCCCAGTTGTCTGGGGAAGATGGCTGACAGAGGTAAAGCACAGACCGAGGTTTGGACTTCTTAACTGTTGACTGATTTAATGTTATAAGAACCTTGATATGGATGTTTGTGCTATCTGTACATATTGTATGGATTGCATATAAATTGTGTTGATCTGAACTCTGGTTATGTGTAGGGAGTATCTGTGTCAGTGTGCAGTGACAGCTGTATCCCAGGAACTCGTAAGGTCCTCCAGAAAGGAAAGCCAGTCTGCTGTTATGATTGCATACCCTGTCCAGCAGGCGAGATCAGTAATTTAACAGGCAAATAAACTATTTACCAGCATTTTATTCAATACAATATATTACGCATAATGACATGAGGTAAAACAAAGCAGAAAATCAGAAATGTAATATGCTGTTGAAACCAAAACATTTAACTAATTCTTTTTCATTTTTTCAGATTCAATACACTGTATGAAGTGCCCATCTGCATACTGGTCCAATGAACAGAAAGATGCCTGTGTCCCCAAAGCAATAGAATTCTTGGCATATGATGAAATCTTGGGAACATTGTTAGTCTTATTTTCTCTGCTGGGAGTTTTTCTAACTATGATCACAACATTAATCTTCTACTGCCACAAAGAAACCCCACTAGTACGAGCCAACAACTCTGAGCTGAGCTTCCTCCTGCTCTTCTCATTGACTCTGTGTTTCCTGTGTTCTCTGACCTTCATCGGCCGGCCCTCTGAGTGGTCCTGCATGCTGCGACACACCGCATTTGGCATCACCTTTGTCCTCTGTATCTCCTGTGTACTGGGGAAAACAATAGTGGTGTTAATGGCCTTCAGAGCCACACTCCCAGGCAGTAATATGATGAAATGGTTTGGGCCTGCACAGCAGAGACTCAGTGTTCTGGGTTTCACTCTTATACAGGTTGTAATTTGCATTCTTTGGCTCACAATCAACCCTCCTTTTCCTTCCATGAATTTTTTGCACTATAAGGACAGAATTATCTATGAGTGTAATCTGGGCTCAACTGTAGGCTTTTGGAGTATACTTGGATACATAGGAATTCTGGCCATATTATCTTTTATTATTGCTTTTCTGGCTCGGAAACTGCCTGATAATTTTAATGAAGCCAAATTTATCACCTTTAGCATGCTGATATTCTGTGCAGTATGGATCACCTTCATCCCAGCGTACATCAGCTCTCCTGGGAAGTTCACTGTAGCTGTGGAGATATTTGCTATTCTGGCATCCAGTTATGGGCTACTTTTCTGCATTTTTCTACCAAAATGTTATATAATTTTGTTTAGGCCAGAGCAGAATACTAAGAAACACATAATGGGGAAGACATCTAGTTATGAAATACATCATTAACCATTGTTTAAATCACTTTGACAATCACACTATTTTGTCTCTTTTGCTGTAGTGATAGCATTCCTTAATGCATTCTAATTTGTTTCAGTGAAAGAATCTTATAATTATATTCAAGCCTGTTCTTGTTCTTGTTGTTTTTACACATTATCCACACCCCTCCACAACTAAGCACACAGAACATTGTCCATATACACCACTTCTGATATAATAAATAAGCAATGTAAAAAATATTTCCCCACCTCATGAAATAAGCCTCCAACATTGGTAAACTACTGGCACCAACAGCAACACTATATAATCATATTGTCATTGCATTTAGTAATAGTTGCACTAACTTGGCAAGGTGTGATACACTAAAAGAAAGAAGAAAAAAATGACTGCAGTCTCAATAGGATTTTTTTGGTTATTCCATTCCAGGTCAGGTACAGAGGTAGCGGCCTACAACTGCCGACTGGTCCATGACAGGCCCGTGATTATCTGAATGAAGTTAATGGATATATGGGGGCTGCATTCTGAGTGGCTGGTACTGTATAGACAGATGAAAAGGTGGGCACTGTACAGAACATGTTGCCCTAAGGTATTGAAATGTGGTTAGAATGGGGATAGCTATTGGTTTGAGTGCAAAATTGACCATAATCCAATGCCACTTAATTGTAGCCAAGACTGGCTACAAATGTGTCAAAGCATATGACCACAGTTTAGAACAAATGTTTCTGAAGTATTATGTAACAACTGTGTAATTCAGAAACTTTATGATAGGTTCAATGAGGCCTGCAACAAAGCCCCAGAATCCCCCTGACGTTTATTACAAAACAATGCACTGAAACTGATACTCAAAGTTCAATACAATGATGCAATGCAACAGAAGTAAAGGTTACACAAGTGCATAGACAAAAACAACACAGAAGAAAAACAGCTGAAGAAAAATAAGTCCCCATCTGTTGTGAGCATCACTTCATTACCCAGTGGCTTGCCTCTAGGGTGGGAAGCTGCACCAGGGCCCCAAAACACAAACACAAGGGATTAAACATTGGTGATTTCTTCATCCTTTAACACAACAAGAAGAACAACAGGTGGCATATTGCTTCAATATTAATTAACACCTTTGTCACAACATGTAAATGTTACATTCAAATCAATTAGGGGTTTGTTTTGATCTCTCTGTCACTTCCTAACTTGTTATTGTTTTTTTGTATCTCTCTTTTTTCTCTCTCTTACATCATGTTTGCTGTACTCTGCCATTCAATGATCTAAATTTAATGTTGTTTTTATTTTTTAAATTTCAAACTTTGTAATAAAATTATATGTAGCTATCGATGAAGTTTCAGATTACTCACACTTTAGTTAGAGAGCCCTGGGACACCATGAGGGCCCTAAATCTCCTATCCAACAGCAGCCACTGTCCACAAGGGCTTAGGTTTCTAACATTATGCAACATTATGAGTTATTACTCTCAAACTTTAGAGAAGTTATAGGCCCAACAAATGCACCACAGCATATGACCTGTATATTCTGATTGTTTTAAATTCAAATTGGAGTTTTCCCCTTTTCCTACATAACATTACTTTAGATAATAAGCAAAACAATTACACAGCTTAGTGTTACACATCATTTTACAGTTACAGGTTGTTGTTTTTTGTGAACAGGTTGGCTGACCGAAGCAGTACAATCGTATTAATCATTAATTGATTTTAGATCATTTTGGCTCTCCACTTCTCTTGTTGGAGCAAGGAGCATACAACACTGTTTGGCCACAAACTAATGCTTATGTGGTCTGACATTTATACATTTGTTTTATTTCATTATTTACAGTATGTAGTGGAAATGTGATCAAAAACTTAAAGAGAGCATACCTCAACAACAATTGGCGCTATACAAATAAAAATGTAATACCTGCAAAAGACTTCACAATCCACTAAATTCAGAGAAGAAAAATGTTTAATCTGCATCTGGATCTGGGTGGGCATCAAAATTCAAACACTGATAGTCAATCATGGAAAAACAGCACATATATGACTTGGGATTCATTGCCTATAAGATTCTGCTCAAATTGAGACATCCTTCTAAGTAACAAACACACAAACAGCACAGAAACATGACCGCTGTGTCAAAGAAAAAGACATTTTAAAAGATCTGTATTTAAAAAACATTTGTGGTATGAGGTCTGCACTCACTCATCACTCATATGTTTTGACTGATAGGATTTTTTATTAAAATAAAACTTTAATTAGCAGTACAGAATTTAATTACATACTGCTCAGAGAGATCATCTTTAATGTGTAAAATATGACAAATCTTTAAAGTTTTCTAACACCATATGGCTGCGATTTACTGAAAAATTATGACCCAAAAGAATCCATCCACAGAAGCTGCTCCATATCTGATTTCAACACACTAATGAAATAATAAGGCAAATAAACAACATTTTGTGCATAGTGGACACCCCTTTTCTCTTTCCCCTGGGGGCACATGCCTCATTTGCCTAAAGCAGCAGATCCGCAGACATGAGAAAGGATATGAACTAGGCTGAAAAGGCCTGGGCAGGGTATAAAGACCGCCACATGGGGTAGAGTTAAAAAGACCAGCTTGCAGAGCGAAACAATGCCACTGCTCAAGCTGGTCCTCCTGGCTCTTCTGATCAAGAGGGGAGAGTCTGTGTGTTGGCTGCAGGGCAGGGCACAACCACCGGAAATGACCAAGTCTAGAGATTTCAACTTAGGTGGCATTTTCACCTTTCGTACTGGGTACAGAGGCAGCAAGCCCACCTTTCAAACCTTACCTGAACCTCCAAAGTGCCTGCTGTAAGTATGTGTTTTTGATTTTGTCCTGTTATGTGCTTTCCTGTTTAAAAAAACTAATTATATTGCAAATCAAATGACCAGTAATTTAAAAAATGTCATCTTTTTCCCAGCATCAATGTAAGAGAATTCAAATTTGCCCAGACCATGATCTTTGCAATTGAGGAAATAAATCTAAATCCTGCTATTCTCCCCAACCACACATTGGGCTACAAGATATACAATTCCTGTGGAATGACAAACATTATTAAGTCTGCTATAGTCTTAGCCAGTGGGCAGAGGGAAATCATAGATGAGAGGAACTGTACAACCACTGACACTGCACAGGCTGTACTAGGCCACTCTGGCTCTGCTCCCACAGTGGGATTTTCTCGGATTATAGGAAGGTTCCAGATACCAGTGGTAAATATGTTACTTTACTTGTGTGTACATAAAAAAATAAATATTAAAGAGGCCATGTAAAAGCAGTTTTGTAAATCATGTCTTTTGAGTCAAGATTCCTCTTGATTCACTTATTATAAGTTATATGTGATGTTGTAATATATGTGATGTTTTCAAGATGATTAACGTGTAATGAACAGAATTCTCTTTAAATTTCTTTTGCACAGCTCAGCCACTTTGCAACTTGTGCTTGTCTCAGCAACAGAGAGGAGTTTCCATCCTTCTTCCGAACTATTCCTAGTGACCTCCACCAGAGCAGAGCCCTGGCAAAGCTAATCAAGCATTTCGGCTGGTCCTGGGTGGGGGCAATAAGTAACAAAAACAGCTATGGTATCAACGGGATCACCACATTTATACAAGCTGCACAAGAAGAGGGAGTGTGCATTGAGTATTACCAGTCATTTGAACAATCAGGTCCTCGTCATGAGTTAACAGAATTAGTTGAAATTGTGAAGCACTCCACCTCTAAAGTCATTGTGGCCTTCATGTCCCACAGAGAAGTTAAAGTGCTGGCTACTGAGTTCTACAAACAGAACATTACAGGACTGCAGTGGGTTGGCAGTGATGCCTGGATCACAGATCACTCACTGACTGACAGTGAGGGACGTAGCCTCCTTGTGGGCTCCCTGGGCTTCGCTGTCAGCCAAACTAAGATCCCCGGATTGGAGAAGCACTTGAGGCAGCTCCATCCCTCACAGTTTCCTGACAGTCAGTTTGTCAGAGATTTCTGGGAAGACATGTTTGACTGTGCTCTGAATGAAACCGCAAACACACAAAGAAAGCCATGCAGCGGCTCTGAGAGCTTGCAGAACATTGAATCATATTTTACAGATGTTTCTGATCTGAGATTCACTAATAATGTTTACAAGTCGGTTTATGCAGTGGCCCATGCTCTCCACAACCTGGTCACATGTGAAGAGGGGAAGAGTCCCTTCTACAATGGGAGCTGTGCTGACACTAAATACATTCAACCATGGCAGGTGAGAAACGAAAAGAAAATGGTTATTGTTTTTATAATCATAATAATTTGTTCATATACCATACCAAATAACATGAGATAACAAAGGAAATGTCCATCCTCTTCTCTACAGGTACTACATTATTTGCAGAATATCAACTTCACAACAAGTCAGGGTGAAAGAGTGACTTTTGACCAGAATGGAGATTCACCTGCAAGATATGAACTTGTAAATTTACAACATTTAACCTCAGAGACCATGCTTGTTGCCACAGTTGGTTTTTTTGATGCCACTTTGCCTGGTGAGCGTCCATTTATAATGAATGGCATGAAGATAATGTGGGGAGGAGGAAGTCATTCGGTATATATTCATATTACTTTGTTCTCACATTTCTGGGTTGTTAGTCACAATTCCATACTGCATAACATGTCATAATCCCAGACAATAACGTTCTGGTTAACATCTTTATTTGTTTCTTCATGAAATTCATGTGAACATCAATACTAAGAAGTGAACACATTGTAGATCACATACAGCTCATCCACATATTCATGCACCAGGTGCCTGTGTCAGTGTGCAGTGAGAGATGTCCCTCAGGAAAACGCAAAGTCCTGCAAAAAAGAAAACCTGTTTGCTGTTATGACTGTATCCCATGTGCAGAAGGAGAAATCAGCAACATTACAGGTTTTAATCAGATTTTAAATGTATCTAGAATGTGCTTTACCCTCTTAACTTGCATTGGACCTGATTAATGTGTTTGTCTCTTTCAAAAACAGACTCTTTGGAGTGCCTCAAATGTCCCATTGATTATTGGCCGAATACCAGAGGAGACACATGCATCTTAAAGGAGATTGAATTTCTGTCTTATGAAGAGATCATGGGGATCATTTTAACATTTTTTTGTTTGATGGGGGTAATTTTGACAACTATGATAGCATTAGTGTTCTTTCATTTCCGGGAAACTCCTATTGTCAGGGCCAACAACTCTGAGCTGAGCTTCCTGCTGCTCTTCTCGTTGACTCTGTGTTTCCTGTGTTCTCTGACCTTCATCGGCCGGCCCTCTGAGTGGTCCTGCATGCTGCGACACACCGCATTCGGCATCACCTTTGTCCTCTGTATCTCTTGTGTTCTGGGGAAAACAATAGTAGTCTTAATGGCCTTTAAAGCAACACTTCCAGGCACTAATATGATGAAATGGTTTGGGCCTGTACAGCAGAGGCTCAGTGTCCTGGCTTTCACTCTCATACAGGTTTTGATTTGCATACTTTGGCTGACAATCAACCCACCCTTTCCCTTCAAAAATATGAACCATTACATGGAGAAGATTATTCTTGAGTGCGCCCTGGGATCACCTGTAGGGTTCTGGGCCGTGTTGGGATACATAGGACTCCTTGCTGTCTTGTGTTTTGTTCTCGCTTTTCTGGCTCGAAGGTTACCTGATAATTTTAATGAAGCCAAATTTATCACCTTCAGCATGCTGATATTCTGTGCAGTCTGGATCACATTTATACCAGCATACGTCAGCTCTCCTGGGAAGTTCACTGTAGCTGTAGAGATATTTGCCATTCTGGCCTCCAGTTATGGACTTCTTTTCTGCATTTTCATCCCCAAATGCTTTATTATTTTACTGAGGCCAGAACAAAATACCAAAAAGCATATGATGGGCAAAACAAAAGATATTCATTGTTAATTTTACATTGTTGGAATTCCTTTTTTTTTTCTTTTTCTCCGAATTGTGTTGTTAATGAATTATTCAGTGCCTATTAAAGTTCTAACATAGTAAAGGAATATACCATCTTCCTGAAATGTTTTACATAATTTTTGAAAGTAATAATACATAATTAATACATTACTGATTTTAATTGCATAACTATTTGAGCATCCCCACTCACCAACATATATTTCTTATTTCTGTTTCACACTAGTGCACGTGTAAGGTAATGTATGTAACTACATGTATATCATTATAATAAATCCTGAACCAGTTCCCTCCTTATCAAAAAAGTTAAATTTAAATAATAAATGATATAACTTTTCAGGAAAATAAACAAAATATTATTCTGAATATTATTCTCAAAATAAATTCTGAAATGGAAAATTTGACCTCACCATTTTGTTGGTTTTCAATCTAAGCTTTAATAAAAATTCACTGAAACCAAACATGCTATGCGTTCTGCATCTTTTTATTGACTTATTATTATTAGGTAAAAGGGAAAGACATTTTCTTCAAGACTATGGTAAATTTATTTTAATGTTAATTTATTTTTCTCCACAAATCTGAAAAAACACAAGCTATAATTCTGATATGATATAATATATTTATATATAAACAGACATCAGGTCTGTATGATGTTTCATGTGCCTATGTCCTCAAGGGTGCAGGAGTTTTTGCCACACCAAAGTGTAGCCCAAAACGTTTTGTTGCATATGGCCCAACTACAAATGTCTTAACATGTCCAACTATTCAAGCACTTAATTCATGCATGTTTGTGGATTGTATTACAATTAAAATTAAAGTGATATGTTATGCTTGTGATTATAAGCAAAGATTTAACTAGTCATAGTGGTTTTTCAATAATCTGATTTTACTCAGGTAGCCCATGAAATTGTTCCTAAATGTAAAATTATATTCTAATAATTTTATCATCCAGCTCATATGAGCAGAAACTGGAAATGTAATTAATCTGCTCCCAGTGTTTGTGTGTATTAGCAAGACAACACCCCTGACCTAGCTCCAAATGGCTAGCTGTCTACTCGGCCATGTGGTAGTGACAGACAGAACGATTCATTAATATTGTCCTTTTCATACATGTAATCATTACCTGATAGTTAACCAATTAACTTGAGTTACCACAGTCTCATAAATTATGACACACATGTTAAGCTTACATGACAATTAAGTGATTAAAATGTATTCAGTGTTTATGTGCACTTAACAGTCATACACATGCACTCGCAATTTAGTGCTGGTTCACAGAATCAACAGCAACAACATAATGGCTTTATCCAAATCAGCCTCAGCAAACACTCGGAACCTAGAAGATTGACTGTTATTACCTTGGAAACAGGGCCCATGTGTATTCTTGTCACATTTATTCTTCATGCCTGACATCCTTCAGGTCTTATGCAAAAAACAAATATTTCCATGTACCTCTGAGGATAGCCAACTGAGTTGCCTCCTACACCTGAGTAGCAGAGAGGAAGCTATAAAACACATCGATGCAAGAAACCTGATGGTGCCAAAGGCGAGACTCTGAGATGACAACAGTCACATTTGTCTTCTTAACACTGTTCACTTGGATGGTGTCATCTGGCACATGGGTCAGACTAGACCAGTGTGCTGAGATCAGTCAGTATGGGCACGATGAAGAAAAAAAGGGCATCAGCTCAAATGCATCATATAAAAACGGTGTTATACATGACAAAACAAAAGTGACAGTGACATGTGAGAGGTGAGTAAATTGTTGATACATTACAATGTTTAATGTTTTCTCCCTTTCCTCTACTTCTTGCTCATTACTTGCTTTTTTGTCAAGGACCTGTGTGTTTTCCCACAGATTCATCAGCAATTAGCCTGTAATTTAATGATTTCCTCAGTGGGGAACCAGCTTGAATTATGGGGGCCTAAACACCACATTGAGAGACCCCTCAAAAGACAATTAGACAATCTCTAGAGGAGCTTTTATGAGTCATTTACAATTTGAAGTCAATTTACTGTGAAATTACAAAGTAACAGTCTCCCAGTTGGGTTTTATGGTTTCCAGGTTGCACTGTTGGATCTGAAGATGTTGCTTTACCCATAGTTCACAATGTTGTGGCCTTTTAAATGCCAGTTTAGTTTTTGTTTGGCAACAAATGACAAGCAGTTGGATGATTAATGCAATGTATGACAGAAGTTAAGGGTTATGGATATGTGATACTTTGCTACTTAATGTGATCAAGAACTGATGTTTGCAAGTTGTTCTTTTTTCTATTTGTCTGTTTAGAGCTCCTGGAATGAAAGTTGCCTTAGAGAGGAAGTTCACACAGGACAGGATCATAAAAGACTATACCCTATTTGCTGGTTTGACTTTAAATTGCATCCTCTATAATGGCTCTGTGAATCTCTTGCAAAGAGTGAAGGAGACTGTGAATAGAGAGAAGCAAAGCATTCCTGTCTGCAAGTGTCAATTCTGGCAGTATTTGGTGTATTTCCTATCTAGGACCGGACGTCTCCTACTCATAATAGAGGTGAGCACCAGATGTAGAGGTTAAGAGCAATCGTATTCATCAAATTAAATTAAATTTCTATTTAGAGCAGTGTACTTGACACTGATTGCGATTCTTGTTTGGAAAGTGTTTTTCTGCTCATGCTAATTTATTATGAAATGTATTAATTACATTATGTGTCATTTTCCTTCATGTAGATAAAAACTGATAATCATAGAAGTATCCGTCCTTCAGCTGTTCTGAGGTCTATGGATCAGAGCTCCCACATCATTACCCATGTTCTAGTGGACCACTGGAAAACAGTGGATTGTATCTGTATCTGCAAGGCATTCCACCTTGAGATGAAAATCCTGCAAGGCTTTTTGTGCAGAAACTTTGCACCTGCATTTCCAGAATTCATCTTTAACCTGTCTGAGAGCAAAGTTAGGCCGATGTCTTCAGAAGAATCAAACAGGGCTTTTGTCAGGATCTACTATGTGCAGGTTTGTATGTATACCTACACTATATATGTGCAGTGTCTCAATTCTGCCTCAGTCTCTTAACAGTAGTGTGTTTCACAGTGTCAGCAGGGCTCGTCCCTGATATCAAAGTATGTAAAATTGTAGCCTATATTGTGATACAGGAATATACTGTGATATAGTAATTTATTAGAAGCTTAAATGAGAAATTATCCATAGACATAGCTGTAGATATCTTTCCTTTTTTGTAAATGTATATGCAGTGCAAATATGCAAATACTTTATTCTGTAAATACAATATCACCATGAAGCAGTTACCACAGTAAAAATGGTATAGAAGATGTATATCACATATATATTATACTGTCACCCAAATGTATTTGCATGAATTTGTAATGTGTCTGTAGTAACTAATTTATTTTGTTGACAGATGCCATCTAAGTTTTATCTACCACACTGTCCAAAAGAAGCCTTTCTAACACAAACAGGTAATAGTAAAAACAAAGATTGTATACTTAAAGAAAAACATGCTTTAATATCCTGAAAAAGTTACATAATAATCTAAAACATTATTTTATGATGGCATTCAATTTATGGATTACACAGGCAGGATGAAGAGTGTGCAGCCTATGGACACCAGCAGATGGGTTGCAAGATTTTTTCTGGCAGCTGCGTTACTGCTTGGAATCTACATGACAAGAATAAAAATATCCCCAAACAGAGTCCATCCTGCTCATGGCAGTAATTCCACAATGGTAATGCTTTTTACCATGACACTACGATGTTTTTCATCCATCCATGAGCCCACTGAGTTGTCCCGGATAGCTGTCGGGATCTCTTTTGTCATCTGCCTCTCTTACACTCTGGAAAGTACTGTACATGTGTTAATTGCCTGCAGGGCTGCTCATACTGTCATGAAATTGTTTTGTACAACACAGCAGCAATTTAGGGCTCTGCCTGTTACTGTGTTGTTTATCTGGTTGACTTTCAATCCTCCTTTTCCAAATAACAATGTAAAACACTGGTTTGACGTCATACTTGCTAATGATACTGTAGGATCAACACTAAGGTACTGGGCTGTGCTAGGGAAGATAGAGCTACTGGCTACTTTATTCTGTGTGTTTATCTCACTTCCCAGTTTGTTACAATCCATCCTGATGAAACTGAATTTTTTGAATGTCCTTTTAAATTTGCAACTCATAACCTGTCTACACAATTCAAGGGTACCAACAAAGTATGTACTTATTATTAAGATCAGCAGGTTAATTTAGACTTCCTAAACCTGCCATACTGTATGAAATGTTCAATATGATGCGAAAATTGTGAAAAATGTAGATACAAAGATCATTGAACCTATAATGTTCTGTTTTTCCTTCATTCCCACCCTCTAAACATGCAGCTTTACCAACCCAGTTTATCCAACAAAAGCATTTTAACTTTGTGGTCTCATTCAAACAGTTGCATCCCCCCCCCCCATGGCTGAGGAGATGGTGCTCTTTGTGAATATTTAACTTTGGGCATAATTACACTTACCTGACACTACCATAATAAACATTCTAGTTATTGAAGTCAATGACAGTTGAATGTAATAAGGCTAAATCTTTATTAGCCCTACCACCATTTTACACAATTTCTGACAGCAAGGAACACTTGTATGGACACTTGTTTTTATTTGTATTAATGTCTTATAAAATGGTCATATCCCACTAATAATTTTAAATAAATATATACACATAGAAAGAAAGAATCAAATAAATTAATCAATACTGAGCTACCCTCTATAGTGTGCTAAGATTATGCTTTGTTCTACAAAGGATGGCCTCTTAACAATGAAGAAGAATGAACAATGAACAGCAGCTCACAGTGTTGCTTTGTTAAGCATTTCATATATAGGGTTGCAGGAAATTTGACTTGATAAGTTTTATTTGTTGCAAATGTTTAAAAGTTTAAATGTTAAACATTTAAAGTTTCTGTTTAGCAACTGGTTTAATAAAAAAAAACAGAAATATATATAACCAGTTGTCCCTAAACGTTAATGAAGCTGCATGTTGTAAGATAAAAGGGAACCATATTTAGATTAAATGCAATCACAAAACATAAATTGTAATGCACACAATAAAATCATAATTTTGACACATTCCAGACTCCATACATACTGATTAATTTCAGTGGCAATAGGCAAATTAAATAAATCAAATGAGAAAATGTTTTAATAACAATTTGTTTGTTTGTATTACTTTATTAATCCCACAACGGGGAAATTCCATTGTCACAGCAGCAATTACGTGAAATAAATAAATACAGATATAAAAAAAAAAAACTATGGTTAAGTGGTAAAGCTATGGTATGGTGGTAATTTGAAAAACAGAAACTACAACATTGATCAGGTGTTGTGTTGTGTTGGGTCTGACAGCGGCAGGGATGAAAGACCTTCGGAACCTCTCCTTCTTACACTGTGGGTGTAACAGTCTCCTGCTGAAGGAGCTACTCAGGGACCCCACAGTGTCATGTAGGGGGTGAGAGGTGTTGTCCATGATGGATGTCACTTTCTCAATGGAGTCCAGAGGACAGTCCAGGACAGAGCTCGCTCTCCTGATCAGTTTATTGAGTCTCTTCCTGTCCCTGTCCGTACTGCCCCCTCTCCAGCAGACCACAGCATAGAAGATGGCTGAAACAACCACAGAGTCATAAAAAGTCTTGAGGAGAGCCCTGCTGACTGATTTTACAATAATGTGAATAAAGACCAATAGATAAATTGAAATGCTTTTCATTCAGAATCATCTGACAAAAAAGCAAAATGTACTCACTAGTGAAGACATATGGTAGCCTGTCCACACTTATTTTGAGCCTCAGCATTACTTTAATTTTTTTGGAAATGATGTGCATTCTGCATTTTCAGTTACTTCTCATATTGGGCCACAGTGAACAAATAGTAGTATAGTTTGATACAGTTCATCTGTCCTCCTCCAGTCAAGTTTAGGTTTTGGAGGCTTGCATCCAGTAATGCATGTCTGAATGTGTCCAGTTGTTTACAAGGATATAGCAGATATTGTTAAGTGTTTATATTCCTCTTCCAAACAAGTTGGACAATTTTTTTTAAACAATGTATTTAATACAATCTCAAAATAATATAGTTAAATACATTAGAAACAATTACATTACTAATAGAGATAGTAGTTATACTAGTGACAAATACTTATATTTGTTATTTAATGTATGTTTAAATTAAAAAAGTGATCTTATACAACTTCGACTCCAGAAATGAAATGTTTAAGGTTAAGAGTGTAGAGATCTTGAGCCAGCCTTTTCTGAGTGACTAAGTCTAATGACTAGTACAGCATTTCCTCAAAATGCATTTAGTACTTCACTACCTTAAAAATACTTGAGTTGATTCTCTTAAATCAGGCCTTCTTTGTTCTACATGCCAAAAAGCAGTATACATTTCTCACAAGTGTAGTGACGAGTGTCAAACAAAATAATTATTGACTGCTCACTGGTGACGTTTCACTTATGGTTGAAAAAGCAAGGTCAGAATTAATTCAGCGAATGCTTGGCTAATGATGGGTTGGATCACTATTACCTTATTTATTCTTCTGGCAAGGACAAAGTCAGAGAACCAAACATGCAAAGGGATCGGGCAGACAGGGTTCCTGGAATTTTCAAAAGAAGGTGACCCTGTTATAGGAGTGTGACTGTGCCTAAAATATGTATGCAATGTTATAGGAAATATAATGTTTTATTAGTGTTATGTTGCAAAAACTTCACCTGTAATTATTTATCAGTGATGTGGCAACACGTTACACTGTGTATGCAGGTTGAATGACCAGAAGGGAGTGTGGGCTATAGGCTGTACAATGGCTGTGGAAATGAAAACATGATGTGAGCAGCTGTAGAAGCTGTACATGGAGAGGATTCAAAGAGCTGCAGAGGTCACATCCAGGCTTTTTTAGGGCCATTCATTCTCTGGAGTTAGAAAACACACAAACATCAAATTAAGCTCACACAGGAATACTCGTTTAAGGTGGTCCTGTTGTTTATGTCACTAAACCATTCCTGTTCACTTGTGCTTATTATAGCCTCTTTTCCAACTTTCTTTTTTAAAGTAGCGTATGAAGTTTTATCCTTGAAACACACAAAAAATATCCCTATGCTCTGTTTTTACTAATGCTGCAGTATTTACCTCCTTCTGAAAGCTTTCTCAGCCCTGCATTAATTTAATAGCCTTCAGAAATGTCTCTCCTAAGGTACTTCTTTTCTTCATTATGAAGACCAAAGCACATTACCAAAGTATTTTAGAAACGTAACTATGCACAGTGGATTGCTGCCATTTAACTAATGTGTGGTATGTCAGTAAGCAAACCAAATTTACATTTTGTGTGGACCTGACTCTATATTGTGAGTGTGAGTGCACATTAGTGTAGGGGAGACTGGGGTGAGTTGAGCCAAAGGGCAAGTTGAGCCACCCCTTGTTGCTAGGAAATGGTAAAAAACATTGATCATGTGACCAAATATTTAGGAGGAAGGCATCATTTCACGGAGTCTGTGAATGTAAGAACCACATGGGTAAAGTGGTTAGATATTTATTTCTAAAAAAAACATTTTTCACTCTTGAAAGGGAATTTAGTCTATCATAAGTTTCAAGAGAATTGTGTTTAGACCAAAATAGATAATTTTGAATTTGTTTTATACATCAATTATGGTATCTATTAGCTACAACATGAGGTCATAAACTTTGCATAAAAGTGCACCATTTTAGCTGTGGGGACTAATAAAGTCAAAATGGTAGCTCTGGTGCCATTTGGCCAGGGGTAAGTTGAGCCGGTGGCTACAGCCAAAATACACTTAATAAGTGTATCCAAAAACGGGATACGGCTCAACTTACCCCGCTCCTATGCTCAACTTACCCCATACACGGGGTAAGTTGAGCCACTTTTTTTGGACATGCTATATCATCGAAACAGTTATGTTTACACTCATTCTGTTTGTTTGAAGGGATGCACAACATCCTGAAATATATGCAGATATATTAGTTAGCGACAAAACTATGATTGCCTTAATGTAGTGATCCTAAATATGAAAAATGGCTCATCTTACCCCAGTCTCCCCTAGGTATTGTATGTCCTGAATATAGCAATCACCCTTCCCTGTTGCACTACTCCTACCAATCTCGGATTGCTCTGCCCTGTGGGAAATAAATCAACCTTTTATGAAGACAGCACATCTACAGTACCTGCATCTGAGGCTGTTGTTATAAGAGCTGTGTCCTTATTTCCTTTGAAAATGCCAAGCAATCATGACTAAACTGGAGAGAGCTGTTACCTTATCACTATTTGTTCTGTATCTGAACACAGTTTCTGGCTGTGAACTGTTTGGTAGGTTTAACATGCCAAGTTTGTTCAAGCAGGGAGACATAATGATCGGGGGGATTTTCCCAGTTTTAAACAAGGAGATAAGTGGCACTTTTACGTTCGAGAGTGAGCCACCTGGAGTGAAGTGTGCAGGGTAAGTTTTAATCTGACTTTTCCATACTTCATACATGTTCTTCTGCTCTTCTCTTACACATTTGCCATTGTATGTACATGTATAGCAGCAGCTTTGTAATCTTAAATCATATTTCAATTACAAACAATTGCCATTTTAGATTTGACCTGCGAGCTTTTCGGTGGACCCAAGTGATGATATTTGCAATTGAAGAAATCAACAAAGATCCTGCTCTCCTGCCAAACATATCCCTTGGCTATAGGATCCTTAACTCTTGTGCATCTCCAACAAATACTTTACGTGCTGCACTAACACTGGCTAGTAGACCAGAGGAGATAGAGTTGACTTCCCCTTGTCCTCCAGCTATATCTGCTCTCATAGCAGAGTCAGGATCATCTCAGTCTTTAGCTGTGGCTGGAACTCTTGGACCATTTCAAGTGCCAATAGTAAGAATTAATTGCATTATAGTTTTCTGTGATAAGTGATGCTTTTGTAGTGCTTGTTTTAAAGTGTTTTTTACCTTTGTGTTGATGTTTGTTTTATAGGTTAGTTACTTCTCAACATGTGCCTGCCTGAGTGACAGAGCTAAATATCCTACATTTTTTCGAACAATCCCCAGCGACTATTTCCAGGCAAAAGCTTTGGCAGCATTAGTCAAACATTTTGGCTGGCAGTGGATTGGGGCCATACAGTCAGACAATGACTACGGGCGGAATGGGATCCTGGCTTTTACTGAAGAGGTTAGAAAGCTTGGGGTTTGTATTGAATTTGTCGGGACAGTTTTGCGTACGTACACTACGGATAAAATTCTGGATGTTGTGGAAATGATTAAGTATTCAACTGCCAAAGTCATTCTTGCTTTTGTTCCAGAGGGTGACTTTTACCCTTTGATGAAAGAGATTGTGAAACAGAATATTACAGGAATTCAGTGGATTGCCAGCGAGGCCTGGATAACAGCAACTCGACCTTCCACCCCTGAAATCTACCAAGCTTTTGGTGGAGCCTTAGGCTTTGTGGTGCAGAAGATGGCAATTCCAAATCTAAAAGCATTTCTTACAAGTATTAGCCCATATGCAGAGCCAAATGCAGCCTTTGTGAGGGATTTCTGGGAGATCATGGTGGGTTGCAAACCAGTTTCACCTGGGGAAGACACAAGTACTGAGGCAATGAATGAAATATGCACAGGCAATGAGACATTAATGAATTCCCAGGATGTCTTCTTCAATATCACACAGCTCAGAGTGTCCTATAATGTGTATAAAGCAGTTTATGCTATAGCACATGCCCTGCATCAGCTGGTATTCTGCCAACCAGTTGGAGAAAACACTTTGAGGCCATGTTTGGATATATCTGAAATGCAGCCCAAACAGGTGAGAAATATTAACATAAAATCCCCAACACCTCCAACTGTCTGTAAACAATGAATGTATCTGCATAGAAGTTATAATGTTAATATGAACTCTTAGAAATATCGGTAACACTTTATAATGAGTACACACTATTAAGCATTAGTTAAGCATGAATAAATACTGAATTCATCATTTATAACGCATGAATACACATTAGTATGTAGTTTATAAACACAGTTAAAAATGTTTTGTTCATCATTGATAAGCACATTAGTTATGGATTAGTAAATACTGAATTCATCATTTATAAAGCATGATTCTGCTGTAAATAGTCATTACTATGTGGTTTATAATCACAGTTAAATGTTTTACTCTCCATTGTACTGTACATTTCTGCATGCACTTGCACATCCACTATTCAGACATGTATTAATGATTAGTGACTGTGTTAGCAGATGTTCTATAAAACCCACAACAAATTCAGCACACATTATGGTTGAAAGATAACGTTAGCTTGTCAGCAGCTGCAGGTGTTTGCCCGCGCTCCCTGACTCACGTTACTCACGTTACTAACATTATGTTAGTAACGTTACCAACGTTACCGACCCGCCCGCGGTGGCTAAGCCGACCTAGCCTAGTCTCGTCTAGCCGGGAGAGGTGAGTGCCTAGCAGCGGCGGGTCGGCTTAGCCACCGCGGGCGGGTCGGTAACGGTAGTAACGTTAGTAACGTTAGTGTCAAGTGACAAGCTAACGTTATCTTTCAACCATAATGTGTGCTACCAAACAAAGACACATACTCTCCACTAGAGCCGCTGACGGCCACAGACTCCAATGTGCTTCTCCATGCTCCCCTTGGCTGCACTGTCAGAAACTTCTGAGAGTTAACGTAAATATGACGTAACATCCCGCTCTCAGCACGTCATCA